AACCCCCCCCCCCCCCCCTCTATTTCTCTTTCTAAACTGACGGCTCTCTCTCTCTATCTTTTCATAGAGGTTTATTGGATGACATCATTGGTGCAATATTCAGCTGCTATTATCAAATATTATGCTGCACTCGGAATGAAGATTTAATTTTATGAATTAATCAAGTTGTTGTTTTGGATTATAACACAAATATTCCGTTTTTTTATTAAAATAAGTTTTTTTTTTCTAGGCTTAATTTTATTTTAGTTTATCTTGCTTTTAATATGAGTTGAGATTATGGCCGTAAACGAGTCAAGCTTGAGCGAGCTCAGGCTTAGCTTGTGTTCGGCTCGTTCGAAATAGCTCGTGTTTGAAATTGGCTCGGATTAAATATTCGTGTTCGGCTCGAAATTGGCTCGAAAAAATTAAATTGAAAAAAAAAAGATGTAAAGTGTGGGATTCAAACTTATACCAAATGTATACAAAAAAAGACTAGTCACATTGCCACATTAGATGGATATTGGATACGAACCAACAACATTCCCATGCAATAAAAGACGCTATGGTGATTTAAACTTAGATATAAATATACAATATATTATTACATAAATAATATATATAATTTCCTTATTTGAAGCTAAACTGAGCCAAACACTATCGAACTAAGGATTATTCATGTTCAACTTGTTTATAATTTGAGCTTTAAAAATTTGTTCGTGTTCGGCTTGTTTACTTAATGAACGAGCCAAACATGAGTTACTTAACGAGTCGAACACGAGCTGTTCACGAACGAGCTTTTTTGATAACCCTAGTTGAAATATTATAGCATTTATGAACATGAGTACATGGATTAATGTGCATTGCATCTAGAGATCTATGCATAAATATTAAATTTAAATCATAATAATTGTTGAAATAAAATAATAATGAATTTAATATTTATAAAACTAGTTAAGATGAAATTTGGCTTTGGATATTTTTCAATTTTCTTCAAAAAAATAAAAATAAAAAAAAAACAAAAAAACCTTGGGATAACCATACTTAGGTGAAAAATAAATAAATAAATATTAACAGTATTTGGAAAAAATAAAGAAAATAAATAATCCCAACTTTGGATGTGTTATTTATTTATTGGTAGTGGGGGCGACGAAGATATATAATTACATACGAATGTAATTATATATCTATCACTTAAATATTTATAATTTTGAATATCATATTGAAAATATTACTATTATTAACTTTTAAATATGATAACAATCTATAAAATATAATTATAAAAGAACTTGTAACAAAATCGCCTCTTTTTACATGATTTAGGGCTATAAAGAGCAAAGCTTGAGCGAGCTTAGGCTTAACTTGTGTTTGGCATATTCAAAATTGACTCGCATTCAAAATTAACTTGTGTTCGGCTTGATTTACATATTCTTCTTGCTTTGCTAATGTTCGACTCGTTAAAATTAATTAGAAAAAAAATAGATATATAGTTTTTGATTCAAACATACACTAATTTTGTGCAATAAAATGCATAAGAAATGTTATCATTTAAACTTAGATATAAACATATATAATATTATTGTATAAATAATATTATTGTATAAAAAATATATATAAATTTCTTTATTTCGAGCTAAAACGAACTGAGCGGCGAGCATGATCAAATAAAAGATTGTTTGTGTTAGTCTCGCGTACTTAACGAGTTGAACACAAACTCTTCATGAACAACGAGCTTTTTAACAGCCCTAACCATGATGACAAAAGTTCATTTATTTCTTTTTTTATTTTTCATTTAAACTTTAACATAAGTGCACACATAATATAGCCTTAGAAGTGCTCAGAAATGTAATCAACAACTTTTAACAAGAAGTCCCATTAATAAAAGGTCAAGCTAAGTATGAAAAGCTTATTACTTTAAAAATAAAAATAAAAAAAAAATGAAAATTTTAAAAAGCAAGTTTTACAGAAGAATAGACAGGCCTTCCTTCTTGGGAGGAACCTTGTTGCCAGGAAAAGATTGGCGAGAGATGTCTACCAGAGCTTTGAAACTGTAAGGCTCATGCATGGAGAGTTCAGACAGCACTTTCCTATTCAGCTGAATATTCTCCCTCATCAATCCATGCATGAAATTACCATAATTCACCTGAGATAATCATAGACATGCAATGAGTGCAATAAACTTTTGAATCCTAACTTTGGCATAATTGCAGCCGGACAATATCGAAACATGAACGCCACACAATTCTGATGTATTTACATATCTAAAACCCAAGGTTTGATATTTACACTTATATAAAACCTTGGTGTCATAAATCTATGCATGAAAATGTGTATTTCACTCTTAAAAAGAGAGTGATGGTGATATTTCTATGTGTGTCATAAATCTATGCATGAAAATATGTATTTCACTCTTAAAAAGAAAGTGATGGTGATATTTCTATGTGATATATTATTAAAGATTGGAGTGGAGTGCATGTAAATATGAATGTTTAGGTGTTAGATATATAGATTTATAAGAATTTTGTGGTATGCATGTAAATGCTCTCTTTTTATAACTATCAAACTTTAGTGATTACATGTGCCATGATCATACCATTGAGAATTGTGATAAAAGCGAATGTTGGGATTCTATGGTAAATTTTAATATTTGCTTGAGCATTTGAAAAAGAAATTGAGAAGATAATAGTTTTGTAAATGGTAAAGTTTCAAGTTGTTATGTATGTAAAAATCAAGGCAATAGTGCAACTTCTACCTTATGTCATACTAGCTCAAATCAACAAAATCTACACTATGAGATGAAATTTTTCGATATATAACCTACTAAAGGCAATAAGTAGATTGCTAAGATAGAGAAATTATAATTTACACAAACACTCAAAGTTCTTGATAATGTTTTTATCCCTCTAAGGTAGACTCCTCTCCCTTGCAACTAAGGCAAAGCGAGCGCAACATATCATCTTGAAATAATCTTTTTTGGAATATTGTGGTATGTGCACTCAAAATAGAAAATCATCCTTAGATTAGTTGATACAAAAAAGCATTCAATGAGTTACAAAAATGAAGCGATGAATAAGACCAAATAAGAAAATGCTTAAAAATAACAATGAAGAAGATAAATTTGCAATGAGTTGAGTGTATGGATCAAACATTAAGATTTTTCTAAATTCCTGTTGTAAGACAAAGGACTGCTCAGGCACAAGATAATATAATTTTAATAAATTTATAATTAGTAAAGAATAGTATTTTGATATTTAAATAATAATGAATGTTGTTAAATACTTCCAACTGGCTAATGATTAATATAACGCCAAAGAACTTCAAACTATAAAGTTTTGATATTCAAGTGTTTATCCTTACTTGGAGCTCACCTGAATGTGAACGCAATTTTAGTATATTTAAACATAGAAGTACAAAACAATATTATGCATTGACTATTATTATGGAAATTAATTTATATATATATTAACAATTGTTTCAAAGCAAAAGAAAATGCAAAATGGGTCAAAGTCACCTCAAAGATTTAGTTTAAATTAAATATAATAGGCCCTTGATTTGAAGTACAAACATTGTGATATTATTGATCATATCATTTTAGAGAATATAAATGATGCTAATGAGCGGTTTAAAAAAATGAATAATATGTCGAATGATGATAATGAATTAATTAATGGTGAGAAAAATTTGAACGAGTGACGTTGCAAAAGTCAACCGTGTTTACAGAAGGACCTACAATATTCAAGATTGATTAAAGATCAATCTTTAAGAGAAATAATTTTCATTTGGGCTTAAAGTTGTAATTGAATATGAAAATGATGAAGGTGATGACGAAGATTATGATTTTGAATAAATGATAATACTGATGAAGGAAACAAGGCGTCTTTAACTTGTTATGATGATGATTATGATTCTTAAGATGATTAGAATAATATATTTAAAAATTATTACACTTGCAATAAAAATTATATTATTTTCAATTCTAAGTGGTTGAGATATTTAACTGTTAAACCTAAACATCACTTTTGTTATTTTTATTATCATTATGACTTATCTTTTAATCTACTAAATTTTCATATTTTGCTGTATTTTTTATTCATGGCTTTCAATATTTTTCATCATCTTTAAAATAACATGTGTCGCATTATGCACTATGCATTATGACTCTAAAAAGATCTTTGTGTTATGGTATGTTATTCTCCATTGACATTTGCTCCCTCGAGCAACAGATGATATTATAGATCACCAAATCGTCAATAGCTAGTTTACACAGCAAAAAAAAATCATCCTCCACTCCTAAGTAGAAATAATTTAATGGGATTTGTTGCCCCCAATTCAAGGTATTTGATTAACTGAAGAACTCGGGTAACACTTGGATCAATTTGGGGTATTGCAATATTAGAAGAAACAAAACCCTCCTTAGAGAGGTTCGCTAACCTCTTGAATGACTCTATTCACACTTTGGCCTAACTACTTATCAATAGGCTCTTACTGTAAACCAATGTGGGAGAATTGATAGTGGCAAGTAAGTACGAGTTTGATTCGCTACTTGATTATATATTCTATGATGGAGAAACCTAAGCATTCAATGTGATCATAATTTTTTTGAACAAATGCAATGTAAATCTTACTAAAGAATATTGATGGTATGATTAAAGGCTTTACCACCAAAACCTTCTATCAATTATTTAGTAGGTTATTGAATCTACAAAGCAGCTTGTCTACCAATTTTGCCACGACAAGAAAAGTTTCCTTGAGTTGACTCAAGAAGGCCATCCCTTTAGAATCCATCCAACGAAAGTTATACTTCACTCCAACAAACAAGATGAGGAAGGCAACTTCCAATTGGGTACTTTTTAAACTGCTAATAACGACAACAACAATAACAACAATATCAACAACAAGCATTTACCCCCACTGAGTGGGGTCGGTTGGCATGAATCAGGGTCGGTTGCATGAATCATTTTTTCTCCATTATGTCCTATTGAGTGTCATATTTTCATTTAATTCCAATAAATTAAGAACATTTTTATACAAAATTGCCAAGTCTTTTTAGGTTTACCTCTACCTTTCTTAGTATAAGTAAAATCTAAATAATCTACTCTCCTAACAAGACATCATATGGTCGACGTTTAATGTGGTCAAACCATTTTAGGCGACCTTCTCTAATGTTTTCTACAACTGGAGCTACTCCAACCCTTACATGGATAAATTCATTTCACATTTTGTCTCTTAGCATAAAACCATTCATCCACTAGAGCATTCTTGTCTCAAAAAAACCTAATTTTATGCTTCTCTTTTACAGGCCAACATTTTGCGTCATAAAGCATTGCATATCTCACCACCATCTTACAAAATTTTCCATTAAAGTCAAAAAGGAACTTTTCAATTAAACAATGGAACCAGCATTCCTCCACTTCAACCAACCAACTTGAATTCTGCTGATAATCTGCTCATCTATATCATCATCACTTTGAACAACAGACCTAATATATCTAAAACCTTCACTCCTTTTAAAACTTGATCACCAATTATTACAATTGGGGTTTTATATCTACTATCACTAAAATTACATTCCAAGTATTCAATTTTAGATCAACTAAAACGAAAGCCTTTAGACACTAAAGATGACCTCCATAATTCAAGTTTTTCCCTGAAATCTCCCTAATCTTATCCACAAGAAAGATATCATCAGCAAAAAACATACACCAAAATACATCCTCCTGTAAATAGGGTTGTAAACGAGCCGAGCTTGAGTGAGCTCAGACTTTGCTTGTGTTCAGCTTGTTTGAAACTAGCTCGTGTTCGAAATTGCTCGTGAACAATGCGTATGTGTTCGGCTTGGTTTACATTTTTTTGTTCATGTTCAGCTTGAAATCACCTCGTTTAAATTAAGCCTATAAACAAATCAAACATGACCAAGCCCATGACCTAATCATTGTATTTTATTTTATGTTTCCTCCTCACAAGCAACCACAATAAATTATAAATTTCATAATTTAAATTATTTTATGTAACTACTTAAATAATTAATTTTTGTAAAAACAGAGAAATTTCATATAGAAATTCCTGTGTGCAATGATTTGATAATTAATGGTTGCCAAAGCCCATGCTAAGTTTTCCTTTTATAAAGGCATACAAAAATTTTCAAGTCAAAAATCTCGATGTGAGACTAAAGTTGGTTAGGAGAATTTTCCTCATACCACTATGAAGAGTGCCTAGTAGATTTTTTTTTTTTAAAATCCTGATTTCCCATTTGAGTGGTTAAAGATTTTTTTTAAAAAAATGCGTGGCTAAGAATTTTTAGGGTTATTTACAGGCATGTTACCCAAATCCCACACCTAAATTTATATATATATTTTTAAAATATACCACCCAAACATTTTTTCTAATTTAGCATTTATTTAATATATATAAAAATAAATATAAAAAATATATATTAATAATTTTCTTTAATTAATTAAATATTTCAAGTAAAAGTTAGTATTTGTTTATATATATTTGTTTTCGAGCCAATTCAAGCCGAACACGAGCAAACAAATATTTTCTCGTGTTCGACTCATTTATATTTTGAGCTTAAAAAATTATTCGTGTTTGACTCGTTATGCTTAATGAACGAGCCTAACACAAGCTACTTTACGAGTCAAACACGAGCTGTTTGCGAATGACGAGCCATTTTGACAACCCTACTTGTAAATGTCTGGTAAGAGCGTCCATAACTAAAGCAAAAGGATATGGCCTTAAAATTAATCACTAGCGTAATGCAACTGAACTAGGAAAATGCTTGATCAATCCTCTTTGTGTTCGAATACAAATAGCTCTAGTATATATAGCTTTAATGACTTAAATATAAGAAATATCAACACTTTTCTTTTTTAGAACTTTCTAAATTACTTCTCTTGAAATTTTATCCCAAGCTTTTTCTAAATCAACAACAATCATATGTAGATCATCATTATTCTCCCTATATCGCTCTTCGTACTTTTCAAACAACCGACCAAAGACAAAAAGAAAATAATGTGAGCATTAACAAGCAAATTGATGGAGAATATTCTTTTATATGAAGAATAATTTTGCAAGCATAATTATGATATCAAAATCTTTGGCGACCTTATAACAAGGAAGTTGTAGAAGCACACCACATCAGCCATCCATCCTATTAGCCATGTCATCGTTTTCCAAGGCATATGATTAAAAACCACCGGCTTCAAAAACTCCTTTGAGAAGACACATCAAGATGATAAATTATAATTTTTGATTGATTACCTATCCTAGCTTTGAAGGTGAATGACATCTTCTCCTGGCTTAGAAGTTAGAAAAATGATAAAGTAGGCAGTTCAAATTCCCAAAGTTGTGGGAGGAGCGGCAAAGGTAAAGTAGTGTAAGCAAATGGCTCTCATTCCACCTTAGATGGTACTATCAACCCCCCAACACCAGTTTAATCAAATATAGTTTGTATTTGCATAAAAATTAATTCAATAAAAATAATGTAATAGATTATAGAGAGAAAACCATCACCCTCCTTAACCCTCAAGTCCTTTTCACGTAAAATGAATCACTAATAGAGAAATTTACTTACTTTTCATCTTTTTCAAGTGATGAATCTACTTAATCAAATTTGATTGCATTGGATACTCTGACCAAAGAAGAGCCAACCATAAAACCTTCCTGATGGTGTGTCATATTGGAAGTGATAGTGAGCCAAATATACATACACCTAACTACCCTTTGTCATATGAAACAAGAATAGAGGCTGTTCAAGAAATGCCTCTTATTGATTTCAATCCAACATATTTTGAAGTTGATGCAGTCTAGAAAATGCAATTGTGTTGTAGCAAAATCCAACCATCCCAAATTAGCATATTTACTTCCCAAACTTTCTAGTTCAATATATTTTTCTTTTGGCATTGTTGGATCATTAGCCTCATTAAGATTTTGGATAGAGGTTCTAGTTTTAACCATTATAAATGACAATTTTCTTCCCTACAAATTAAGGGCTAGTACTATGAGACCAATTTATCATCCAAACCCACCAGGTAAAAATATTTTGATGGAATTGCAGAAGAAAGTTGTTGAGTTGTATAAGATGTATACAGCATGGCTGTACTGTAATTAGCAGAGTATTACAACCTAATTTGTCTAAGACAGTTCGCTGATAAAATGATTGACAAAGGAAATTATCTCTTTCTAAGGTTAGGTAACAAATTAGGGGTTACAAGTTAAAAAGGGGCATATAAAAATTGGACCATCTAATATGGAATTGATATCTTTGGTTTAAGCTTAGTAAACATGAGACTAGGTTACTTAACTAGATTACTTAAGAGCTTGATGATGGCTTCCTCCCTACTAAGAATTCCTTTTTCCCTTAGAATTTTGATCTTAATTTTAGCTCTTCATTGTTTCTCCTTCCTACCAAGAAGTTTCCTAAGCTTCTTTACTCTTTTGTAAGTCAAGATACAAAAACATTCTAGATTATGTTTGAAATTGTGCAATATGAGGTATTCCTCGATGCTTTTTCCCTTAAAAACACAATAAAGCTCACGCCTCATTGTACCAATTTGAGGTGTACATGTTCAGGTGCACCTCAAAGCACGATTCTGGTTAGAATTTTTTTACAAATAATAAGAGAATAATTATCTCACTTAACTCTCGTTACCTTCAAGCACCTCCTAGCAACACTCACACATCCTCTCACCCATTGGTCTTCTCTTCGGCCGCTGTTAATGTCTTTTTCCACTGTCAACTAGAGATGTCAAAAATTGAATAAGCATGCTAAGTCAACCGGAACTTAACTAAAAAAATCCGGCTTCGACCCACCTGAATTTTCGGTTGGATTCAGTTTAGGAATACTAATAAAATTATTTTTTGGGGTTAGGTTTAGGTTGATCCGCCAACCCAAAATCGATCCAAAATTGACCCGTCAATCCGATATTGATTCAAAATCGACACGATTTTGACTCGAAATCAACCCGAATAACTATTATAACATATGATAAATAGGTTATACAGATCGGTTTTGGGTTGACAGGTTTGGTTCAGGTTGAACTTTCTTACCGTATAAGTATTTGAGTTGGGATTCGAGTCATGCAGTTTTGGGTCGAGCCACCCGAACCCGACCTGTGAACACCATTGCATCGACACTCTCTGTTGCCACCAACCTCCATCGTTTCTAATATTGTTATCTTTTTTGTAATTGCCATTGGATGCCTTCTCTGCACTCATTGTTACATTCCTGGACTTTAATAATTCTTAATACCTATGGCAGGTTATGCTTTTTTCTTGAAGTGTGGGACAAATAATGAGTATTTGAGGGGATTTGTATTAAATATTTTAAGTTATTTTATTATTATTTTATTAGGTTTAGTACTTCGCCTTAGTATCTTGACCTATTTTGGAAATTTGATCGCCTTCTTAATTTGCTCAATTTAGCACTTCTTGCTTTGTTAACATGTTGATGTATTACTTTTAATGCATTAATAATAAGTTAGGATATTATTACGTTACTTCTTATTTCACACTTTAAGTTTGAACAACACTTTTTCTTTATGCAACTTTTTGAGTGAAGCTTATGCCTAAAGGCTCGCTCATCTCATGAAAAAACTTGTCTGCTCATCTCATGAAAAAAAATGGCTCAATACCTAATTGCATATTTTTAACCATGATTGTAGATAAAAAAAAAGTAGAATGGTAAAAATCACAAACTTAAATCCTGCATAACTTAAATCTTTTTTCTCCACTCATTTTACTTTGAATCCTATATTTTTTTTAAAAATTCAGGGATACAATATATTTAATTCATCATCTCCGTCGCGCCCAAGAAGCTTAAACTTAAGGCTGAGCTTCTTCGATGGGGGACAGAGAATGAACACTTAATATTTATTATTCAGCACAAACTACCTATCAACTTCATTTTTGTGTTATAAGGGCTAATGTATGCAGGCAATCAGAAAAGAAGAGCTTATGTATGTGAGGAATCAGAGAAGAAGAGCTTATGTATGCGGGGAATCAGAGAAGAAGACTAACATGTGAGTGAAACAGTAAGAATTTCTTCAAATTCAAAAAAGTGACTCCCCAAATATAATAATTTGACTATCCGTCATTTAGGTGATTAAATCGCCAGAGTACTGAAATTTTTTACTGACGTGCATCAAATAAGCTCCACCAAGCCATTACATAAGCAATTTTCCATCCAATTCATCCCTCGACAACGAACTGAAATCCAAAACTCCAGGCAAAAGAAAACTACGAAAATTTATCTTACCCCATGTAGGCGAGTGCCGGCATTGATACGCTCAATCCAGAGCGATCGCATGTCCCTCTTCTTGTTCCGCCGATCCCTATAAGAGTATTGCAACGCCTTCTCCACCCTCTCCCTTGCTATTCTGATGCAGTTCTTTGCCCTACCACGAAAACCCTTCGCTAATTTGAATATCTTGTCCTTGTTCATCTTCTCTCCCGATGCCCCTCTTTCTCCGAGATTCCAATTCGAAATTCCTGTTCTCCGATCAAGCTGCCGCTTCAGCAATACATCGAAGATCTACACGTATATGTATACAAACGTATAGAAAGAGAGAGATTGGGAGAGAATGCGAGACTGTAACCTCTGCTTTCGCCGCTTCAGCCTCCGATTTCGATGCCGAGATCGACGCCACGCTCTACTCTTCTAGGGCAGTGAGTGGGAGGAGCTCGGAAAGGTGGGATCATAGACGTTCGTATTCGTATAAAAATGTGTTTTTTATTTTTTATTTTTTATTATTATTTTTATTATTTTTTGGAAAATTTGGGGGTGAAACTTGAAAGAGATAGATTTACAATCCTGCCACCCAATTTATATACATATAATTATCCCAAAAATTTATTATCAAAATATTTTATAAAGAGGTGATTACATAAAAGACACTGAAAACATTGACAAATTATTTCATACGGTCTGATCATGACCGTCGATCACCGCAAACGCGTATTCTAGTGGGCACACGATAGTCCAAATCGGTGATCGACGGTGGAGATTGGACACCGCATACAGAAATACATGCGGCCCGTATGAAATAATTTCTCCAAAACATTGTTATTTACATATCGAACACTCTCTTTCATTCATGTTTGAAATTCTCACTCAAATATCAAATGCATGAGTTTAAAAAAATCATTTGGATGGTTGATTTGTAAATAGTAATATTTATTCTGCTTTATATGTAATTATCCCTATATAAAATTGTATAAAAAAAAAACACAAAATTCCCTACCCCTCAAATCAGCGATCCCACGATGCTCATTTATAGCGACCAGCACCGCGCGGCACACGTGCAGCTCATCCACAAAACCCTCACCGGGATTCCTTGGCAATTTACCGCTCGTCTCTGCTTCAGTTTCTGTCTCTCTCGCTCTCTTTCTCCGCCTCGGATGCCTACACTGCGATGATGGCGACATGTGAGACCGTGCGAGGTTTCTGCGATCGGTTCTTGGGTCGATGTCTCCGGCACTACCCTTGTCTCTCCGATCGAGGTTAGTCAGATCTCTGTTTCTGCATATTTAGTTTATCGGGTGTTTATCTAACTAGGGGTTGGGATTCCAGCGAGGAGATCGTCGATTGGGTTGAAGGTAGCGCTTTTGCTTCTGCACGCGGTGTTTGTAGGCTTCCTTTTCGTATTGGATACTGATTTGATACGGAAGAGTCGTGAGATGCCCTGGTACTATGTTTTCCTTGTTTGAGTTATGTCTTTAGTTCTTGTTGCTCGAGGTGGAAGCTCTATTTATTTCTTTTTAATGACAGAATGCTTATCTTCAATTTACTGATTTCTGTGTTCATATATTTTTGTAAATATTTACTCCGTTTCTGCATCTCACAGCTTGGGAATTGATAGTTTTTTCAGTAGTTAAGAATGAATGTTAGGTACGATTGAAATTTTGCAGGCCTCTTGGTAGAGTTATTGTAGGTGCTTTTTACAATATCTGAAGAATTGTTGTCTTAAAGATTATTATCATGCGATTGATCTCTTTTATGTCCCAAATTTAGAATTTAGAGCTTATCTTAGAATATTTTGCATTTTGTCCAATGGAACGATAGCAGTAGCATGGGATAAGTAACCTTTGATCATTCAAAAGTTGTATAGATTTAAGATATTTTCGATTGAGTAGTAGGGATTCTGATCCTCTCAAATTATTATACCAACTGCAAAATGCCATGGTTGAATATTGCAAACCTTAAAACCAGAGCGGCTTCTTAGAATCCATCATGGCAATCGAAAATGCATCGGGTGTCCAGGATTTGTAATCTCATATTGCACAATTGCTGTCTAACTGGAGAGAATCTGAGTTCTGAGTTCAGGATTATAAATTTGTGTGGTGGATATTTGTTTGTTTCTAGTGGGATTTGAAAGAGCACGCGATCGTCATTGTTAAATCAAAATCTGTCCCAGAGTGATGCCTGTGCCATGCCCTACTAAGAAAGTCTGAGGAGTTATAGGTTTTCTTTCAAGCACACAGATGAAGGAGAGGGAGGGATGGAGAATATAAAGCGTAGAGAAGAAGCTCTAGGTTTTCTTTCAAGCACTGTCTCAAATACAAAAAACCTTTCTTCCGATATGCACATTTATTTATTGATTTATAGGGTTGTAAGTGCTTCAAAAGGAGTTCTGCAAAGAAAATAATAAATTTCTCTCATCTAAACTGCCACGCGGATGCCAGGTATATGCTGTAGGGTCAAGGAGCAATTTCTCTAGGCAAGTTCACTGTGACTAGTTACATCAGGCTGCCCGCTGAGCAAAGGAGACCAGCGAGTTCTTTAGAGCCTTGTGTCACGGATTAACTTTCTTCAAGTCATCTGTGCGGCTTTAGCGCTCTTTCTTAGCACTAAATCAGCCTTACCCCTCACAACACTGGACTTATGAGCCCCAAGCACTCTTAAGAAGAATAGAGAGAAAGGAATACTTTGCACTTGAATACTAGAATGCTTTGATTCAATGCTTGGGTAATTACAAATGAGGGGAGGAGCACCTATTTATAGCCTCCTCCATGTCTTTGGCCTTTCATCTAGCCAATGTGGGACTATTCCATGTCCAAGAGAAGCTTCTAGATTACAATATAATATTCTATCTCTTAGACTATTCTTATGTACATACATAACTCTAGAACATTCTAGGTTATTCTTAGATTCTCTTTAGAGCTTTTCCTTCTTGCTCTCTCCTGAATGTGGCGGAATATTCTAGAGCCCCTTTGATGACTCGCTATATTCTGACCTTCTGTAAAATCTTCCATCCTGTGTTCGTCTTGATGATTTCTCGAATATGGCGGAGCGTGACACTTGGGTGGGTTCCTCTAGGCGAGTCCTAGTAAATTCTTGGTAGTCAGAGGTGATTTCAGGTCACCATTAAATATTGTATGGGACCCCAAATAGAAAGCCGAGTTCTCTATCTTCCGAGCAAGCTCTCTGCTGTTGGAGCAAGCACTTGTTGGTCCTTAGGCGAGTTCGTGGTATATCCTGGTTGTACAATCATTAATGATGTTCTTTAAACTAACGACAGTTTGTAGGATTATAAATTTTTGTGGGAAGATAATTGACATATTAAAGTTTTATACAAATCGTGGTGGTGGATTATCTGTTCAAGTATCTGGCTTATTTGCGTTGAATCATTCAATTTTTTATAATAGGAGGATTATCTGATCAAGTATCTGGCTTATTTGCATTGAGTGATTCAATTTTTTCTGTTTTTGCTTCTCCATGTGCCAATTAAACCCTTAATTTGAAATTGCTATGTTGCTGATATTGAATTCTCTTACCTGTTCTTTTCCTATTAAACAATTTGGTTTTGTTGTTTTAGTTGTTTAATTTAGCTGTATAGCTAACTTTATCTAGGAATCAGTGGCTTGTTATTCTGAAATTTTTATCTAGGAATTAGTGGCTTGATATTCTGAAATTTACCATGTTTTGAGCGAATCTCGAGTTCCCTGTTTTAGCTGTAATGAAAGATTTGCTATTCTGAAAAACATCTTTTCCACACCCCCGTTACCCACAGAGCTTTCTTTAATATTTTGGGTTTGTTGTGCACTCTTATCTCATGTTCATACTTCAAAAATTTCAATCACTTTGTTTGCTTTGGCATAATGGTTGCTTTGTATTAATGTGTGCCTTATTTGGATTTGTAAATAGACCAACACGTTTTTTTAGTAATATTGAAAAGTCTTCATTGCTATGAAATAAACATATAATTATGTATTCTATGCATTTTTAGATTGCACACTTGATGTAATTGAACCCAACTATGCTTTGTGCTTTGCCTTATTAAGATACATAAGAACATCTTTGTACTTTACTTTTTTTTTTGCATTATGTTTCAGATCAGTTTCCATATGTAATATGTTTTATTCTAATGTTTAATATTGTTTAAAATTAATTATTTTTTATTTTTTTTTGTAGTTTATTTTCTTTTGCCAAGTGCTTTCTTTTCTTGTAAATTCAGAATTGCATTTGAGCAGTTTTGGTTGAAATCCTTTTTTCCCACCTGAACTACTCTTATATGATTTCCTCCCTAACTTGCAGGTATTCGACGACATACTTGTTACTAGTTTTAGCCACCCTAGTTCAATATTTCATCACTGCATTTTCCTCTCCGGGGTAAAATAATACTTTAATTAATATATTTGTTTAATAAAAATTTCCTGATAGTTTTTAAAAGGAGAATACCTTTTTGACTAATGCTTTTAAATTTGGCTACCATTTTTGATGTTAGGTATGTTATTGATGCAATGGCTTATGAAAATGAGATGCATGCAACTCATCGAAATTCGTCAAGAAATTCAATGTAAGCGTAGCTTGAGTTTTGTCTGAATTTATGTAATTATGAGCATTGTTCGTTCTCTCGTACATTAGTCAAATTTTTTGTTTTATTTTAAGTGCGCACTAAACTTATGTATGATTTTGGTGATCAAGCAAAGGCAACATGCTTCAAGAAATGGTACCTTGATTTCTTCATCAAATAACAGAAATAACCCTCGCATGAGTTCTTCATATTGGCTGAATCTGGTCATGGAATTGTATCCTCGTGGATCATCCAGCAGGTTGAAAACTTCTTTTACATATTTATCCAATTCTACAAATTGGAATTAGTATTTGAGACTATTATATTGGTGTTCTTTAATATTATTGCAATTTGATGGCATGTCCCAGACCTTGCTTCATAGAAATATGAATTGTTATATGTTTATTTTGATATATTTTGATTTATTTTTTGTAAATATGGATTTGTGAAATTGGCTGCTTGAAAATGACTTGTTATAAGATATCATATGCCTAAATTAATTTGCGATTTTAAACTTTGAATCTTGGTTTGCTTATTTTAATATGATGTAATTGATTTAATTTATTTGATATTCTTGTATCAAATAAGCAAACACTGTTTTCACTACGTTCTAGGGTTTTAGTAGAAATTGTTACCCGGAAATATCATATTTGCACCAAAGTTCTATGTGTATAATTATGAAAGTGTTGGTGTAAGACATGTAAATACATAAGCATTGCATGTTATGTTTGTAAATGTACCTTAAAAATTATTTTGGATTTGGTGTACTAGTTTTTGGTCTCACTTGCGGGCTTAATATTCTGGCCTGATAAGTCTATGGAAAGTGGAATAACGCGCACTGTCGCCAAGTAGTTTGCACTATCTGTGAAGCGGTATTATTGACTGAACAATTAGCAGTTGACTTTGAGCGGCCACAAAATATCTTTCAAGCTCCATCGTGGTTTAGCAAGTTCGAATGACTGTCATGTTGGCCCTACAGCGTGTGAGCTTTTTGATACTATTTAATGGACGAAACTTGATTGAGTTGGGATGTTTAGGTTCTAGCCTTAGAGTTGGTTGATTTGCTGAACTTTTAACACAATAAAATTTTATTTTGGCCAAACATGTACATATACATGCAGTTGATCCATTTAATATTCTGTATTGCTATTATCCATAGTGTACAATATATTTAAATATTATTATGCATCCAACTATGCATAGCTTCACGCTGATAGATATTTGCGTGCCTAGCACACTGCACACATTGGCATTTACATGCGTACCACTCAATTCCTATTTATTCACATATTGACTAGCTGAACTTTACTTTTTTTACTTTATACCATCCAAATCTCTTACTTCGCATAAAAAATACCACCATTTTTACTTTTAAAAGTAAAAGACACCTTTTCCAGCATAGTTAAGGTGGTATGTATGTAAAAATTGAAGTTTAGGTGTTGGATACGTACATACATAGAAATTGATAGTCTGCCCTTTAACATAGGCAATCAGTTCAGGTGTGTAGTCTGGTATATTATGAATATGGTGTTGTAAGTTAGTGATTGGCCTGGTTTCAGCTGTTGGGTCCGCACGGATTCTGCTATTAGCATGTCTAAACCAACTTGGTTTCCACAAGCCCACACTCTCTACAATGGCATTAGTAATGATTTTTGCATAAAAGTTTGCGCTGAAATTAGTAGTGGACATTAAAACTATAAAACTGGCCATTTTGATTTTTGTTGAGCTGCCTTGAAAGGAGTCCGGTAATATATATGACGCTCCCCAAACATGCTAGCTGCCATATCTTACTGCTTGAAATCTAATCTTTGATATGCTGTTGGAGCCTTTGTTTTGGCATTTAAAATTTTTATTCATAAGTTATTTGGAGCCATTTTGATGTGAAAATTAATCCTTTTTATTCAAACGTACTAGTGGCTTATATTGACTGTGGATGGAATGGAATTGTTTAGTATTTGTATTTGTTGTTATAGAAGTGTGCATTCTGCAATGAAGCCACAATAATAATAATAATAATAGTGATAAAATCAATAGGTTTTGTATCTTGGAAACCAAAATGCTTGCACAATTAAACTAGAAGGTCTCAAAAGTTCTGCCATTTCTTCATATTTGGCTAAAATATGAAGCATGTGTCGTGTTTGGTTTTTGATGGTTAAATGATACACTGGACTTTTAAATATCTCTTGATTAAATATTAAGGGATTTTGTGCATTGTTAATTTGTTATTTTACAAACATGACCGTTGCTTACCTTTTGCTATCATTCCATCCTTCACAGGAACTGGACTTGCTTGTATTGTAATGTTATCCAGGTACGGGCATGCCTTAAAAGTTCAAAAGTTTGATTTGTATTTCAAGTTTTACGTTCATTCTATTGTTGTCGGTGGGGATATTTGTTTGAAAAAAATTCATGCACAATATACTAAAGAAAAATTTTTTGGCAAGTTTAAAATAAAAAAAATAAAAATGTTGGAAATTTTCATTTAGATTTTTGTTTATAGTATATTGAAAAGAGAAATGAGAAAGACAACCTTTTTAATAGTATTGCTTTGTAGGATAAAAAATTAATTTACATATGAGAGAAATATGAAATAATACCTGATTACTTATTTTGCGATCAAAGTCATATAAACCTTTTTAGTTAACTAACCAACATTTTTTTTGTGACTTGATCTTTATTAATTAAACTATGAATTTTGCAATATATGAGCACATGAGAAGTTGTTTTATGCTGATATCATGATGGTATGAGCTAAATTTTATAATTCTGCTTTAAAGTCATTTTTTTTATTGGATATTCTTTATAATCAGTAGGACCTGATGATATCCTAATTGAAATATTTAGTAGATTTGAGAGTTTCTTGTCTTACTAAACTTCAATATTATTTTAAAAACTAAAAATATGCCTGAGGAGTGGAGGTAGAGTATTTTGGTCCCCATTTTCAAGAATAAAGGGGATGCACAAAAGTGTGGAAATATAGAGGAATTAAGTTGATGTGCCATACTTTAAAATTATGGTAGAGAGTAATTGAACATAGGTTAAGACATGTTACAAAGATTTCTCATAATTAATTTGGATTTTTGCCGGGCAGGTCTACTATGGAAGCTATACATTTATTGAAAGATTTGTTGGAGAAATATAGAGAGGATAAGGAGGATATACGAATGATTTTTATTGATTTAGAAAAAGCGTACGATAAGGTTCCAAGAGAAATTCTTTGGAGAGTTCTAGAGAAGGAGTTGATATGACTTATATTCAAGTTATTAAATATATGTATATTTGAGCTGTTACTTAGTTTGAACAGTTTTAATATAAACCGAGATACCTCAGGTTTAATCGTCTGATTTCACATTCATCATTTCCTGCACTCTCCTTATCTGATTAACTCATTTTGTGTAGTATATTTGAGGGTCAGTAGGATGATCAATGTATGATTTTAAGTTCAAATTAATTATCTATTTAGATTTGAAGAGTTATGAGGGATATTTCAGTGATTGGGTTAACAAACCTTATCAGTACAATTTTTGAAATTGAAGAGATTGCTAAATGAGTAGATAATCACATTGATATATTTAACAACATACATTATGCTCAAGATTGTGCTAGCTAAAAAAGAAATCCAATTTATGAGTGATACATTGAAGCTATGAAGAGAGAGAGAGAGAGAGAGATTAGAGAGAGAGAGTACTAGAATATAAGCTTAGAAAATTTACTTTAATTTTGAAGTGCCAATTTGATTTCATGCTTAACAAGATCTATTATTGATGCGACTTTTGTGCTAAGACAATTAGCAAAGAAGTATATTGCATAAAGAAGTGATCTTTATTTTATTTTTATTGATATGAAGAAATCATATGATCAAGTTTCACACAAAACTATTTGGTTTGTTTATGTAAAAATGTGCATGTATATGTAGATGTTATTAAAGGTATGTGAGATGGATGCTTACTTTTATTGGAAATAGTGTGTAACAACCCGAACTCTCATCTATCGAGATATTGTTTGCTTTGGCCTGATGGTCTCACAATTTTGCCCCATTTGTGTAACTTCCCAGGTCACCCATCTTAGGAGTGCTATTACGTGACTATGCTTAGTTTTGGAGTTTATGATTAAATTCCACCATTAAACCAAAAGGCGCCTCCATGTTTAAGCGTTTGGCTTCATTCTACTTATTGGTTTCACAATATCCCCAAGTAATTGATGCCCCTATCAGCTTCCATAACCCAAGTCATTCACCCGACAATTAGGATTCTAGAGATAACTCCTATAGATGCAAGAGGTGGCTCCCACCATATAGCATTTTGTCTCATCTTGAGTTCCAGAGGCGGCTCCAATGACGTAACACTTTGTTCAGTATAACATTCGGTTCCCATCTTTAGGCTGGTACAATGATCTGATGCTAATTGTAACAAGCTCAAACTCTCATCTATTGAGACACTGTCTGCTTTAGTTTGATGGCCTCGTGATTTTGTCTTGTTGGTGTAACTTCCTAGGAGTCACCCATCCCAAGGAATGCTCCCATGAGAGCACGCTTTAGAGTTTCTGATGAAATTCCATCGTTAAACCAAAAGGCGCCTCGATATTTAGGAGTTCGGCTTCATTCTACTTGAGGGGTTTCAAAGTTGAGTAATCCAAGAATTTTTAATTGTCATATGTTTACATCAAATTGAGTCATATGTTCTCTCCATTAGTTATGGAGATGCTTACAATGGAAGTTCAAAGTGAGATGTCGTTTTAATGCTTTTTGTCGATGAAATGATTTTAACTAGTGAGATTTTTATTAAATAATTGAAAAAATAATGTAATATTGGAAATGTTTAGAGTATAAAGGCCTTAAATTTATAAAGAAAAATAGTATATATGCAATTTTAGTGAGTATAATGTTAAAATTTATCCCATAATATTATTGAAAGATGTTGTGATACCTATGTGATGGGTTTAAATATATTGGATCTATTAAGAGAAGAATGATAATACATGTGTCATAAATTTTAAGGGGTTGTTTAGGATCACTTTTTTGTTTTTTTTTTTTTTTTTTGTTGTTTTGTTTTATTTTTGTTATGATTTGAAATAAAATCTATTTGACATATTTGATCAAAATACAATTATTTGTAAAAACACTTATTAGGCTTCCACAACTCCCTCATGGAAAGCTAGCTCATTTTTATTTTCCCGCCTTATAGAGAAGTCACCCTATTAATGTAATCTATTTATTATATTACATAAATGTGATATTCTCCTATAGTTGAACGTCATAGTGTACACCATTTTATTGGGATTATGGAGGTGAAAAGCCATTGGCTGACACTTTTTCATTCCAAATTTTAGGCGTGAGATTGATTATGGACACAAGTTGGCTAAAAAGAAATTTATTATGCAAAAATTAAAGCTTTTTATTGTACTTTAAATGATTAAAATAGAAAATTATTATTATTATTAAACAAATGAGTTTATCTTTTTAAATAATTATTATATTTTCATATTTATTATTAAATTTACATACACAAAGTAAACAAGAATAGGAAGCTCATTACATTTTTTTTGTTATAATTAATATCATATCCATCTTGTACTATTGATCAAACAAATATAGTTGTTGTGGAGGTGATGGTGAGAGGTATAATATGGGCTATTAATCTTTCACATTAAAGCTAGTTTATCAAAGAATTTCTAAGTGTTTTATGTGTTTTTTCTATTGAAGCCCATCTTTTTTGATAAATTTTTGAAAAAGTTGATTGAAATTTTATTCAATTAATTGAAATCAATTAGAACTTGTTTGAATCATGTTTCATTTAAGGATATTATACTAGAAAGCTGTGTAATGGTTAAATAAAATTTGATGTCAACGTCAACGGTGACTAGGTAAGTGGTTCGAAGATGGCAGTAGCGACGGTGGCCCAAAGATAGGGTTTTGGCGAAGACAACAACGACATTAGTTGAATGATGGTGGTTCAATGATTAGGGTTGTTAATGATCCAATTTCAAATCGAGCTGGGGTCAACTCGAAAAAAGATTCAATCCAAAATTTTGGCTCGTAGCTCGACTAGTTTATTTTGTTCTGATCTTGATCTGAGCCAAAATTCAAATTGATTTTCGAGCAATTAACGATCTTCAAGCTAAATTTGCTAAATTTACAGCCCTAACATTATTAGAGATGTTAATGATCTGATTTCGAGCCAAGTTAGGTTGGCTCGTAAAAAATTCGATCCAAAATTTTAGCTTGTAGCTCAAATTATTTATTTTGATCCAATCTCGATTCGAGCAAAAATTCAAATTAATTTTCGAGCGATTAACGATCTTCGAGCTAAATTTCCTTGCCCTACTGGTGGTAGCTACACAACGACCAAGCAATGGCGGCGACAGCTGCGACAAACAGGCAGTTGTGGCTTGACAACGGTGGTTGATGAGCAATTGTGAATCAACAATGTCAGTTCAGCGATGGAGATCTGATAGCGGCAGTGGCTTCGGTCAAGCAATGATGGTCCAATGACAGCTATGGAAGCGACTGAGTGACCGTGTGGTGGCAACCCCTTTATCAGATGACAGTGTTACACAAAAAATTTCTCTTTGAAAGTTATTTTAAATATGAGATGCCAAATATACAAAGTAATCTACAAACATATAAATGTGAGAATAAAAACATGAAAAATATTACAATTAATCATATGATAAAACTTTACAAGTTGTAAGTTTATTATTATTATATATTTTATTTTAATATAAAAAAAGAATCTAACAAAAAAGTTTTAAACCGACAGTGCTGATCCCAAGCCCAGATGAATGAGATTTAGAGAATTTTGAAATATTACTTTGTGTCCTCGTTCTAAAACTTTTCTAGCTCCGCACTAACAGATGATATGAATGAATGGAAAATAAGAATTCATAACATCGACCCTAAATAATTTAGACAAGGATAATTTTTTTTACTATATATAGCTATGGGGATCTTTGGTTGAAACACTTTTTTTGGCTCTATATGATATCTTAATCGCGAGGGAACTAAAATTTATTTATCCTTTGCTTTTTTATTGCTCCATCAATGTATTGCGGCTGTTGTGTTTCCTAACTTAGTATAATTTCATAATACTATTCCTAATATAATCTCCATCTTATATTTATCCCTGGACGGTACCATGATTGTTAGTTATTACCATTGTTACATTCATTACCGCACTAGTGATAAACTAGAAGTTGTTGGGATAATGCCTATGATTGTGATTGAAATGATGATTTTCACGCATGCTGTGCTTTTCGAGTTTGAAATATTTTTATGAAAGTAGTTGCATATGCTTTTCATTACATTTTTATAGCTATATAGCCATCGGCAGGACATTTTTGCCATCTGTATTGTTTTTGGTAAACCAATTACTTGTAAGGCTGATGTTCTCGACTCTTTTTGCAGCCTCCTCGTTCAAAGCATTGCCATGATTGCGACAAATGTGTCCTTCAGTTTGATCATCATTGTGTTTGGCTAGGAACGTGCATTGGCAAAGGGAATCATTGCCGATTTTGGTGAGCTTGTTTGCTTCTTTGGTAGAAACTATGATTTTTCATGAGAATCTTTGATTGCTGAATTAGAGTTAATGAATATTTCTAAATTTTTTATGACGTTTTTTTAGTTCATTCAACACTTCTGTTATTTGAGACTAAAGCGAGGGGTAGGAATGAGAAACAAGATCTATATTTTCTCACTTCAACTATTAACACTATCAGATGGAAGGAAAATAAGGTTAGGAAATAAGAAGCAACTCATCAACAACAACAACAACAAAGCCTTAATCCCACTACGTGGGGTCGGCTACATGAATCCTTTTTCTCCATTGTGTTCTATTTAGTGTCATATTTTCATTTAGTTCTAGCAAGTTAAGATCCTACGTGGGGTCGGCTACATGAATCCTTTTTCTCCATTGTGTTCTATTTAGTGTCATATTTTCATTTAGTTCTAGCAAGTTAAGATCATTTTTAATACGAGAAACAACTCATATTGAATTTTAATTTAAGGAATGTATTGGGGGTAGGAAATCAGTAATAACTCAAAATTTTGTTCCTCTTGATGCAACACTTAAAATTTTCGGATGAAAGGAAAAGAAGAGAAGGAAATGAGAAGCAACTCTAGTTTCATAATTCAGTCAACCGCCTCACTTTTTACATATTATAGTGCACTACCCTTATGAACGGAGTCTGCCTTCAAATTTGGCCCCTTGGCATACCAACCCAAATCATTGAAGAATTCCTTGGACAAGGAAAATAATGGCTCGTTGGAAGGCACTAAATAATCAAACTATAGACTCCCAGGTAAAAAATCCAAATATTGCAGCAATCTCATTGACCTTTTGAACTAAATTTGGTAAAATTCATCTGTCCACACAAATCACTCTAAAATCATTCACTGAAGCCTTCTTAGAGCCCACAATTGATCAAACCATAAATTAAATTGTTCTTGGCTAAGGTTTCTGCGTTTATTTTATGTTTTCTTGCCAAGACACAAATTCAAGCCTTTGTTTGCATTCGTTCTACTTATTTATAGATCTCTATATATTCTCTTTCACAATGTTTAGATGATATTCCTAACAAATTCTTTTTTTAGGTGGTATATTTTTGCAGAAACAGTTGTATGCATCTGGTCTGGAGTACTGTACATCACCCTTCTGAGATCGGATATGATGAATGTTTGGTATGGAATATTTCTTAATTATCTCTCTAATCTTAGGAATGAGAAAATATTAGATTTTTTTTTCTTTTTTTAGATGTTTTTATTGGTTTTAATTAGCTCTTTTTCTGATGATATGAAATCACAGGCTTATTTCAGGTTTTGTAGTTAAGTTAGCATGGATTTTGTAAATAGTATGCTATGCTGATTAATGTTCTCATACAATATGTTTGTAGGTGGAAGATTATGATTGTGGTCATCTTGTTAACAGGATTATCACTATGCTTCATCTTTCTTCTTCTGCTGCTGCTTTTTCATACGTAAGTTCTTTTTTCACATTGAATTAATATTCTCGGCTTTCGTACACTTTTTGTATATTTGTTAAGTTTATTCTTATGCTGACTGGAGTGATTGTACTGGTTATGTTAGTATAGGATGCAAAATAAACAAAACCGATATTTCTATTTATATACAAATAATGAGACTTTGGAATTAGCATCCATTAAAGCTAATATTTGTTGAAGTTATACTATTGGAGCTTTTGACAAATACAATAAAAGGTAGAAAATACACTCATTGGATGGTTAGACAAAACTAACGTTAATGATTATAAGAAGGAAAATATTAGATGTATGATAAAATGGATATGAGTAACCTAAGTTTAACACTTCATGTTACACTCTATACTCATGAAGAATGAATGGAAATGAGTAACCATAAAGCTGAATTCAATTATTTAGGATAAGATTAATCATGATTATAATTTAAATACAATGAGAGATATTGGAACTGCAAAATCTTCTTGATTGATTTTAACACTAATGCAAGTGGCACTCTATAGGAAATTACAAAAGAGAAAGCATGAAAGAAATAATGAAAATTTGAGAAAAAAAAATATCTTCAATTCCACGGATATATTAGCGTAATAAAATCAAAATAATAAAAACCTAAATCTTTCCAATCTTGTAAAATCTCTATATTACTCCAATTGGAGCATATATATCGAAGTTTTTTATTATTGTGACAAAGATTGGAGAAATGGAGTGGTCCCATAGCCTTAAAATTTTTTTTTATTGATTATGTTTTGTTGGAAATGTGAGGAGTACTTCATCTCTAATGAAATAATTGTTGACCTAATTGGCTAGTGCAAGTACTTCATCCTAATGAAATAATTGTTGACCTAATTGGCTAGTGCTTTGTTGCTCATTCAAGTAGGTTCTAGTCCTCCAACCTTACATTTTTACAAATTTGAGTCGACTTGAAATCAAATTTGAGCCGGCCTGTAACCAAACCATTTCAAGTTGAGCTTATTTAAAATTTTAAGTAAAGCTAAAATTAATAATTTTGAGTTTGAGTCAAGCGAAACTCACTCAAACTCAACTCATTATGAGCCTTAGTTCTTGCTGCCAAGCTTTTTCTCAGAATCTTGTTGGAAGAATGCTGTTCTCAAGTTTGATCTCGTTTTTGCAGCTTTCTTGTGCTAACAAATCAGACCACATACGAATTGGTGAGAAGACGGCGCATATTCTATTTAAGGTATTTGTATTATTTCTAAAATGATCCCCCCGGCTAATTGCAGAAGACCAAAATGGTACCGGATTATATAAAATGTCAATTTAGTCCTCATACTAATTAAACAAGAACCAAACTGGTCCCCCGACATGACTGTTATAGTTTTTATTTAAAGAGGTTGGGAGCAATTTTATTCCATATTTAAATAGTTTGGGGATTAAATTAGTCTTTTGCATAGTCCGATCATTTGCCCCCTTTCAAATAGCCAGGAATCATTTTAGTTATTTTATCCACTAAAATGTCAAGAAGAAGTTATTAAAATATGAAAAGGAGGAATAGTGGCCCCCAATGGGGAATTAGAGAGGGTCTTGGGGTGGCCCTCAACCCCTTAAATGCGCATAAATCATATGTCATGCATAATATGGAATTTTATCTCATAAATTCTCCAGCAATTATGTAGATTGTAGAAGACTTGCCCTCCCGAAATTTACAACATTGCCATTGCCGGGTCTTAAGCCCCAGATGCGAAAAGTGAAATGTGTTAGCTGGCAGCCAGCGTAATTTTTTGCCAAAAAAAAAATCTTAGGTCTGCCACTAATCGATTTACATAGCTGATGAAGCCAGTTTTATCAAATTCAAATTTGAAACTTACCTAAATAACACCCAATTCCTATGTTTTTACATATCTAACACCTAAATTTTGCTTTTTATATTTATATCACCCAAATATTTCATATCACATAAAAAATACCTCCTCCATTTTAATTTTTATAAAGTGGAAGACAGTCTTTTATGCATATAGATAAAGTGGAATGTATGTAAATCTTCCATTTTGTTTTTTGCAATATATATGGCCAAGTCTCTGAATTTAAAAATCTAAAATTTCAGGGGAATTCCCGAGAGGGTTCGGCCATTCAGCAGAGGAATTTGCAGAAATCTTTATAATTTCTGCTGCTCCTTGGATAGTATCTACAACTTGGAAGCAGTTCCCACATTAGAGGAACTGGAAGAAAGAGCAAGGCCATACACCTGCACTGATACCCTCACCTGCAGATGCTGCTGAGATCTCATGGGTTCTGTTCTAGGGTCTGCTTGTAAGGCTCCAATTATCTGATTTGCTATTTTATATAATTATATTGTTTGTACGTTAATTTATTATTATTTTTTTAATTGCAACAGACTATAAATTTATAGTTATGTGATTCAGATAAGGCTAACAATGTAATTTTCACTGGTTTAGGTTGTAATGATTTAGTTTTTATTCACCACTAGTCATTATGTAGAATAGGTGATGACCACCTTGATGTTCATTCACATGCATGATATGATTCTTATATGTTTGCATTATTTAGCATCTAAAATTTGATATTTCATTATATAACTACTATAGTGTCAAACTAACTAAAACAAATGCATGAAAACTATTGTTTTACTATTGGAAATTAATATTAATGATTTTTGGGTGTTAGATATGTAAATACATGAGAATTGTATGGCATACTTATAAATGCCCCTTATATAATCTGTGCTGAAATATGGTTGATGGAAATCTCTCTCAACATTTTGGCAATTTTTAGATACTGGCAAGGAAATTCATTGTTTTAAATAAAATAATTTATGCAATTAAAGCTAATCTTATGAATTCCAATTGTTTATCTTTGAAGAGTTATTTTTATGCATGAAAATGTGATAAGAAAGATTTGCGTGGTATGAATGTAAAAACCAAAATTAAGGTGTTAGATATGTAAATACATAATAATTGGGTGGTATGAATGTATGTAAATACCCTTAATTTTATATTACTTGTTTTATACAAAATGTTCTGAACTCGGTGGCAAGCGTCTTAATCGCATTCAATGCTACGTATCAAAAAGGTTATTGGCATCTCAACGTCGGTGGATGTATCATATTCCGAATAAAGAATAAAAGCCAACCACTATTTAATAAGTGAAAATACACCTCAATAATTATTTTCGAGTATTTTAAAATAAATTTATTTTTTTAATATAAAATAAAAATCTTTAAAAGATACAAAAAATAAATATATTTTTTTAAAAAAATAAAGTACAATAATAATTAAAAATTAAAAATTGATTTCAAATAAATTCTTAGCTATTAAAACTCTAAAAAATAAGCCCTAAATTTAAATATTGCATAGTTTAAATTTGCGAGGTTTACATAGCACTAAAAATTATAAAATTTAGCTTGTTTTGGTGTGAAATAAATAAAATATTAAAGTTGAATGCTCTTTAAATTTATATTTTGACACGAAAATAAAAATAAATAATTAATTTCGTTTGATATCCTTTTCGATGAAAACCGTTCAATTGGAAAAAATATTAAATCAGTACTACGCACGTAGAGTAACGTGTATAGTCAATAAAATCACGCCACGAAAAAAAACAGCGCGGTAACACAAGAAATATTCCCCTCGTGTTATTCATGTGTTATTGCGTGTTATTCATGTGTTATTATGTCCATTATGTCCTGAGAATATTTCTGGTGTTATAATAATATAATAACACATCAATAACACATGAATAACACACAATAACACATGAATAACAGGGGAAAATATTTCTTCGTGTTACCGTGCCGTTTTTTCTCTGTAGAGAATATTCTTCCGTGTTATTATGTGTTATTCATGTATCATTATGTCATGAGAATGTTTTTGATATTATAATAATACAATAACAAATGAATAATACGGGAGGTATTCTCCATATTACTCCGCCGTTTTTTTTTACTATCGCGTGGAAAATCATGACATGAAATTTTTTTATTAGGCAGTACTCATGTATTATTTTTTTGACGGTGAACTTCCAGGCCCCAATAAGATAAAAAAATAGCACGTGGGTTCTGGCCGCGTGCTTCACGAGCCTACCATATTGCTCTAATCTATACAAAAGTACATTTTCCCCATTGGAAAGTGTGCTGGCTCTGATTTGTCATATAATTCATTCATCTAGGAAAAAGAAGTGCAATAAATGAGATGAGAGTAGATCAACATAAGAACAAATCCATGAAAGATACAATTCTAGACAAGAAATTTGTTTTTAAGCTATCACGCAACGTCTTTGAGGATTCCTCTTTAGAGAAGAAGAATTGATTCTACAATTCACCCTCACAATTATCCTGAAGAGCTCCTCTCGTGAAAGATCACCATATGCTCAGTAAACATATTTTTTTCCTACCGACACGAGCTCTTTATTTAAGGATCAATGACGGACAAACGGACGAAATCAATTGATCGACGAAAACTGACTTTGTCCACCAAAAACTAAACTAATCCAACCGACTTGTTGTGTTGTATCAATCAAGCCCACCGAACCAGAACCAATCAAGTCATAGATCAACATGCGATAGACTCGTGTATGTGAAAATATCTAAAAGTTTGTTACCAACTTCATTAAAGAAGGGACAAAAATAAAATATCATGTTGTGAAATTGAAGCGGAATAAAACAGGAATCGACACAAATTAGAAGAAGAACACAGAGATTTAACGAGGTTCGGCAAAGAATTGCCTACGTCCTCGGGAGCGAGCGGCGGTTTCACTATTTCAGAGAAGTTACAATACATCCCATAGGGTTACACATATAAATAAACATATACAAACCATCAGATAAAATTACAATCACGCCCTCGCTCCCCCCAACCCCCTTTATTCCAAGAGACACTTCTTTTCACCAGGAGACACACATCTTCACTAAGAAACTCCAATAACAACAACCAATACTTCTCTGGTGGGAGTACTGTAGAGTTAAGCTTAACTGAGGACAAATGATATGGACCTCAGGATAAGCAGAACTACCAAACAAATCTCCACCTTAGTGAATATTCAGCCCCTTTAGAAGAAAATATTCACCTTGTGAATATCCAATCCTTTAAAAGAAAAAATCTTCATCTTGTGAATATCCTGCCATTTAGGAGAAAAATCTCATAGAGTCTCTTTATACCAAAGTGAGTTGGGCAACCAAACCATCTAACCTGGCTTGGTCAAAGTTCCTGTTGCATTTTCACCATATGATTCAACAGAGTGATCTCCACTTGCAACTGTACTCCCTATCAGTTTATAGATGTTACCTATAGTGATCTTCCCTTTCATCACAGTCAGTGCACCCTTAACAATTTCGATGGTTTCCCTATCCTTATCTGCCTTATGAATGAAACCATTTCTGTGTAGAGTGCCCAAGGAAATCAAATTTTTCTTCGGAAATCAAATTTTTCTTCAACTCTGGAACATGTCTGACATCACATAATGTTCTAACAGTATCATCATACATCTTAATTCTGACTTTACCAATATCAGCAATATTGCAACGTCTATTATCACCCAAATAGACTGAACCAGAATCAGATAACCTGTATGAAGTGAACCACTCCTTGTTAGGTGTCATGTGATAAGAACATCCTGAATCAAGAATCCATCCATCCTTTAACTGAGTTGTTGTAACTGAAAGCGCATCACCATCACTGTAATCTGTAATATCACTCTGCACCATATTCACAGACCTGGAAGATACATCACGAGTCTTCTTCTTGAGCATTGGACAATCTCTTTTCATATGTCCCTGTTCCTTGCACTTAAAGCAACGAATCTTCTTGCTTTTAGGCTTTAACCTGGAACTTTGCCTTCCAGAATTCTCTTTCTCCTCCTTACTTTCACGATCCTGATTACCCTTAGAATATAAACAATTACCATGAGAGCTTTCCTCTGCATTCTGCTTCTGTTGGTTGTGAGCCAACAAAGCTGCAATAATCTCATCAATTTTAACTGTTTCTTTCCCATATGTAAGAGTAGTCACCAGATGTTCATAAGAAGTAGGCAATGAACACAAAAGAATCATTGCTGGGTTTTCATCCTCAATATTCACATCAAGCCGTGTCAGATCCGTGATTATTTGATTGAAGACATTCAAGTGCTGAACCAAATCAGTGTATGCCTGCATCTTCAGCCCATACAGCCTTTGCTTCAGATACAATTTATTCGTCAGAGATTTGGACATAAACTGAAATTTCAATTTCTTTCATACTTCTCCTGGAGATTTTAGATTCATAACATGATACATAATCTCATCTGTGAGACATAAACGTATGGTACCTGCCGCTCGAAGTTGTAACTCTTCCTAATCTTTATCTTCCATATTATCAGGTTTCGTAACCCGCAAAACCTTCAAAATTTTCTGTTGTGCCAACAAATCTTATACCCTTGTTTGTCACAATCCGAAGTTCCCGGTTCGATCGAACTTCACTATCTCGAATTTTGCTCCAGACATTGCTATTTGAAATTTAATCCTGCACTGTATTTTTCTGCCTTGCTTCGAAAAACAAAATAAAATACTCCGCAAATAAAGTCAAAGAAACCTGAAATTTTCCTTGTCAAATGCAACAATTATCCTGCGATTCTCCTATGATTCGTGAATCAAATTTTCCCACGAAGCACTTTTCCTGTTCGTAGCAATACCTCGACCAATTGTTGTTTCCGCGAGCCATGAATCCCTTTGCACCTGTTCGAGGAATACCTCCACGAAACTCTTATTCACGAAATAATTGTGTCTGCTTGCCTCCTGTACCCTGCCGAACTCCACCTGTCGCAAAATCTCCAGCGACGAACCGGCAAATTTAACTGATCGAATTTCTCAGATTTTCCGCAAAACAAGGCTCCTGTTCGCGAGGACAGCCTCTGTTTCCCACAGATTGTTGAACTGGCCGAACTCCTCTGTTTTCTGAAACTCCACGACGGTTCACGAAACTGAACCTCACGCCTCTTCGCTTTTGGCCCTTCCACAAAACTGCCTCCGGAACAGCTTCTTCCGCAGATCCTGTCTGCAGGAACCGCCGAACTCCTTCTGGAACCACTGAGCCACACTCATCGCAGAACCGCAAAAAATTTCGCTGGACTCTTGCAGCGATTCGCCTCTGCCTGTCGCGATCTTCTCCTATCGCGACTCTGATCCGTCCGAACTGCCGCGCCTGCGATTCCGTCTGCCGAAGAAGACGATTCGCGAACTCCTTCTGCTCGCAAGAAAAATTTCTCCCGTGATTCTACTCTGCCGCGGATCTTCTTCCGCGCTCGCCTTTGCCACGAACCTTTGCCTGGTCCGATCGCTGCCTGCTCTGCAGAGCCTCCTCCTTCGAGAATCTCCTCCGAGATGAATCCTCTGTCGCGCGCGGCGAACTCTTGTCTTCGACCGAAACTGAAGCCCTATCGCGATCGAAGCTCTGTCGCGATCGAAGCCCTGTCGCGATCGATCCTCTTTCCAAAGCCTGCTGCGAACTCCTTCAATTCGCGAAATACCAAACTCGTCTCAAAACCGGAACTGCCGCACAACCGACAAAACTACTTCTCAAAGCTTCTTCCTGCGTCGATCTCCTCCTGTTTTGTTACCAACTTCATTAAAGAAGGGACAAAAATAAAATATCATGTTGTGAAATTGAAGCAGAATAAAACAGGAATCGACACAAATTAGAAGATATTAACGAGGTTCGATAAAGAATTGTCTACGTCCTCGGGAGCGAGCGGCGATTTCACTATTTTAGAGAGAGTTACAATACATCTCATAGGGTTACACATACAAATAGACATATACAAACCCTCAAATAAAATTACAATCACGCTCTCGCTCTCCCCAACCCCATTTATTCCAAGAGACACTTCTTTTCACCAGGAGACACACCTCTTCACCAAGAAACTCCAACTCCCTAGATATGAGTCATACCTAACACATCACATATTGTACTCTTCTATAAATGATAAGATCATTTTATGAAAAAATGCTAATAGACAAGATGTTTTATTGTCATTTCTCCCTTTTGCTATCTCTATTAAGTGTGTCTCAGGAACAAAACCAAAATTAAACAACCACAATTTTCTAAGAAAAAAAAAACTATCATTTAAATCTATATAAATTACACCAATCCCCTTCCCATAAAACCCTTGAAATATATAAATATATATATTTATAGTTTTGCAAAGAACATGCCTTGCTCCCTCTCCTCTCCCATAATTTCTCTTCTTCTCCACCCTCCAACCATGCTACTACTTCTCATCCTCCCTCTTATAATACTACTAATTCTTTTCACCTTTTTTCCCTTGTCAAACAAAATCACCATTGGTGCTCCCCCCCTCCCCCCCTCACCCCCTAAGCTCCCCATCATCGGCAACCTCCACCAACTATCTCCACTTCCCCACCGCTCCCTCCGCGCCCTGTCCGACCTCCACGGCCCCCTCATCCTCCTCCGCCTCGGCCGCCATCCAACCCTCGTCGTCTCCTCCCCTTCCGCAGTCCAAGAAATCACCCAAACACAAGACCACCTCTTCCTCAACCGCCCCCTCTTCAAGGCCACCCATGAGCTCTTCTACCATGGCCGCGACATCGCCTTCGCCCCCTACGGCGAATACTGGAGAGAGATGAAGAAGACTGCTATTCTCCACCTTCTTAGTAGCAAGAAGGTGGAGTCCTACAAGAAGGTGAGGAAGGAAGAGGTGGGCTTCATGATGGAAGAGATCGGGAGGACGATGACTACAGCGACAAACATGACGGAGGTGTTTAATTCTCTCTCGAGGGATGTTGTCAGTCGAGTGGTGATTGGCCGGGCAGCAAGGAGGACGTGGTGGGAGCATGGCTTGAGGAGTCTTATAGATGAGAGCTCCGAGCTTACCGGAGAGTTTTATGTTGGTGATTATATTCCATTGTTGGGGAGCATATTTGGGGTTGTAGGAGGATTTGAGAGGAGGCTGAGGAACGTGTTTCAGAGATCGGATGAGCTGCTGGAACAGATAATGAGGGAGAGGAGGAAGGAGGAAGATGATGGTAGTTATGTTGCTAATCATTCTTTTCTTGACTGTTTGTTGACTCTGCAGGGTAAGATGAAATGTGAGGGGGTTGCTTTTGATGATGCCAGTATTAAAGCTATTGTTAAGGTAATTACATTGTAATTCATACGTTTTATTCGTTTTATTTTTGCCATTTTCATGCTTATTTATTTGCTTATCTAAAATCTAAATTTTGATTTTTGTGTTTCTAAAATTTTATATCATTTAGAGAAATATCACTATCATAACTTCTAAAAAGTGAAATATATATTTTCATGAAAAGACGAGTAAGCACGAGCTACCTCTACGTCCATGGCTGTGGTGTATTGAATTATCATTTTAATATTGCACAAAAATTCAACACACACTCAATAATACAAGAGAGAAGTAAGCATGAATTACAGACTTTGGTTAAAAGCCATGTTAGTAGTTGGTTGTGTAGACCCCAGATGATTGCTTCAAGAGCATCGGTTGGCTACAAAGACCATCATAAAAAGCTATAGGAGTCATGAGTCACGGAGGTCATAGTTGGTTACATAGGTCTTCGTGGTGAGATGTGATGCCATATAGGCCATAATTGATTTCAAACCCTCCTCCAGGCTTTCTTCTTCTTCTTACTCAATGTCTAGGTTTAGGTCACAACCCCCTTTCAAGAAGAGGGTCGGACTCTATTATCAAATTCATATTTAAATTTAGACCACTCTATTAAACGGCCCGTAGAGTTCCCTTTATCGAATGACGTTCCATGGATCTTTAACTGTCTTAATGATATTAGAATTGAGTGACATTAAGCTCGTTGGATTCTTCTTATTGAGAAGCTACATTTGATTATAAACATGTCAGATTTAGAATCTGTTTGATCATTCAATTGTCTTATTGCAACTTTCAAAAGTGGTTCAACATCTTGATTTGACTTGTATTAGACCAGTTTTGGTTTCGTTGGGTTCATCACTTCGAGCCAGTCAATTTGAATGTAATTTTGCTAAAATTAGAATTTTGAATCACTTTTAATCAAAGTTTAAATATTTTCTGATAAAAAAGTATCTCAAACTTCATGCTGAACAATTAAATTTGTTGATTAGACTTCACGTGCACTTTTACAACACAAGACTTCATATGACATGAAAAATATCATCATTTTAACTTCTAAAAAGAGAAATATATTTTTTTCATGCACAAGATTTTATACATGTAAACATGTAAATACATAGAATGTAAACACAGAAATTGAGAGGAATGCATGCAAATCTTTATTCATACCATTCAATTTTTATGTATTTACATTTTCAACACACAAAAATTTTATATTTACTTTCTTCATCAAGCAGGACATGTTCGGCGCCGGAACAGAGGCAACCTCCATCCCCATGGAATGGGCCATGGCCGAGCTTCTCCGCCATCCAGCATCCATGAAAAAACTCAAACAAGAAATAATCAACACCGTCGGCCCCAACGAAACCATCATCAAAGAAAAACACCTATCAAAGATGAGCTACCTCAAAGCAGTAATCAAAGAGGTTCTCAGACTCCACCCTCCAGGCTCCATAATTGTCCGCCGCCATCTCACAGAAGAAACAACCATCAACGGCTACAGAATCCCCAAAGGAACAATGGTCCTCATCGGGGCTATCTGAAGAGATCCTGCGATTTGGGAGTCGCCGGAGGAGTTTCTGCCGGAGAGATTCATTAATGGCGGAGCAAGGGATTTAGGGTTTATTAATCATGGATTTCGGCTGCTGGCGTTTGGTGCGGGAAAGAGATCTTGTCCTGGAGCGCAGTTCTCTTTGAGTTTGATTGAGCTCGCGGTGGCGAATCTGGTGCATGGTTTTGACTGGAAGCCAGCAGAGGGGAAGGCAGAGGATATAGATATGGGTGAAGTTTATGGGCTTACTACACGCAAGAGAGGGGGACTTCTACTTGTTGCAACAAGGAAGGGAAATTCATTGGGGCAGATCTAACATTGCAACAAGGAAGCGAAATTCATTGGGGCATATCTAACACCTAAAGTTTGCTTTTTTACACCTTTAGACCACATGAATCTTTCATAGCATTTTTAAAATTTCAATTTTTCTTCTTTTGTTAATGTTGAATTTGGTGTGGTTGTGAGATAATGGCTTCAATCAGTTATGTGTGATTTTAGGTCTGTTTGCTATAATCTTTAATCTGTTTTATGTTTAATAAAAAAATATTAGGTAAAAATCACAATAAAATTTTGATTTTAACTTCATGAGAGAATTGAAGATAGATTCTCTTAAAAAATCAGAGATGTATAGCCCAAAAATATGATCCCATTGAGCCGAAATGATCACAGCCATCAGAGATGCGTCAGCAAATACGAACTTGGAGAGCTAGCAGTTTAGGCCACCTTGGTCGACCACCTAAGCAAGTCAACCACCTTAACCGGCCGGCTATCATGAAAAAAAATATAATAAAACCTTGTCGGTCACCCTCTAGCCTACCATCTCCCCCGCCAACCGGCCACCAGCCCTCTGGTTAGTCGTTCCACCGTTCCAATCAGGTCGGCCAATTCCTAGAAAAGGAAAAAAAAAAATTAAACGTTACTGGCCTGAACTCTTACCGTCAACCTCACCCGCCGACGAGCCTCCCACTGGCCTGGCCGCGAATCAGGCCATTTACATACATGCCACTTAATTCATATATATTAATAGATATATAAATACACTTAAAATGGAGATATTATGTTTTTTATCAAATTACAAACATGATATCACATTGTTAACCTCCCTATCAAAATAAATAATTACAATCTCAATAAAAATGTAAATTATTTCATAATTGATTTAAAAACTTGTGAAGTTCAATCATGGCTGGGAAACTTGTAGGGTCCAAGTCCATTATGTATAGATTGATTTGCATACACTGTCTATTAGGAACCACTACTATTAAAGTGTCCCCACTGTTTTCATGATATTCACAACCTTATAGCCATGTGATATTAAATATGATTAAAAATATTTTTCTATTTAATTGGTTCAAGAAAGACTCAATAAAAATTAGAGTAATTTTGATTTTATTAATCTTAAAAAAAAGTTTAATAATTAATCATTTTTTTATTTTTAAAATATGATTTATTTGATGTGTTAAAATATGTGTATTTCTTTTTAAAAAATATTAAATTACCAATGAATATTTTTTTAAGTATTTTTCAAAAATAAGTTAATTTATTTTAAAAATAAAGAATAAAGGGAATATGAAAAATATATGAAACAAAAATATTTAAAAAATAAAAAATTAAATTAAATTATCTCAATTCAAGTTGAAAGTAATGTTGATGGATACTTTTCTAAACCTTAGTGAGATTTATTTGGCACAATCAAAAAAAAAAAAACCATAAAATTACAAAAAAAAAAAAAAACTTTGATCCAAAAAAAAAAAAAAAAAATTGATACTTAAAACTTTCTCCCTAGTTTTGCATAACTGCCCTTATTGCAATTAGTAGAAGAGCTTCCCTTTTTCGAGTTGTAAGTCCATAAACTTCACTCATATCAATATCTTTCACCTCCCCCTTCGCCGGCTTCCAGTCAAAAACATGCACCAGATTCGCTATGGCTAGCTCAATCAAACTCACGGAGAACTGAATTCCAGGACAAGATCTCCTTCCCGCACCAAACGCCAGCAGCTGAAATCCATGATTAATAAACCCTAAATCCCTCCCTTCTCCATTAATGAACCTCTCCGGTCGAAACTCCTCTGGCGAGTCCCAGATCTTCGGGTCCCTTCCGATAGCCCAAGCATTGATGAGCACCATTGTTCCTTTAGGGATTCTGTAGCCATTGATGGTCGTGTCTTCTGTGAGCTCGCGAGGAACTATTATGGCGCCTGGTGGATGAAGCCTGAGAACCTCTTTTACTGTTGCTTTCAGGTAGCTCATCTCTGCTAGTTGTTCTTCTTTGATGAAGGTTTCGTTGGAGCCAACGATGTTGGTTATTTCTTCTTTGAGCATTTTCATGGAGGTTGGGTGGCGGAGGAGCTCGGCCATGGCCCATTCCATGGGGATGGAGGTTGAGTCTGTTCCAGCACCGAACATGTCCTGTAGAAGGAAGGATTAGTGGAAAATCGAGTTTCATGATTATACCTTTCAATTTTTATTTTTTTACCATATTACATATCTTACATATAAAGTTCAATGTGATTATACCTTTCAATTTTTATTTTTTTACCATATCAATTTTTGCATATCTAGCCCCTCAAACATTGCTATTTACAAATCTAGCAAAATTTTTCTTCCATTTCTCAAATTCGCACTCAAATATCAAACTTCAAGATAAAATTCCTACCCCTATTTTTCATTTCTATCAAGTTCTCACTAGATTGATTGTGGCGTGCATGAATACATTGGTTCGATAGTTCAAAATTATTTTATAAATAACAATGTCCCCTAATTAAAATAGCGAAAGTTTGACTGGTAAATGCCCCTAAAACAAATGAGGAATTTAACTAGCATATATTATGATAAGAATTTATGTTAGGATTATCAAAATCAAATTTTTTTTCTTAAAAATAATTTCTTTTATCATATAAAGTAAGCTTAAAATAGCTCTTTTTTTTCAAATTATTAATTAAAAGAAATATGATAAGCATTAATAATACAACAATTAAAAATAAAAAAAATAAGGAGAAAATCTAATTACCTTAATGATAGCCTTAATACTCATATCATCAAAAACAACACCTTTGCATTTCATCTCCTCCTGCAGACTCAACAAAACATCCAGAAAACATTCATCAGTGCCATCACCATCTCCTTCCTCCTTCCTTTTCTCCATTCCCCTCCTGCGCTCCCCCACTATTTCTTCAAGCAACTTATCAGTTCTCTCAAATGTCTTTCTCAATCTCCTCTCAAAACCGCACACAAACCCTGCTGCGCTCCCCAACCATGGAATATAATCACCGACATGGAATTCCCCTATCAGCCTGGAGCTATCAGTTATGAGACTTCTCAGACTGTGCCCCCACCACATCCTCCTTGTCGTTGCGCCAATTACCGCTCGGCTTATAACATCTCTGGAGAGCGCATTAAACCTCTCGGCCATGTCCATCGCCGTCGTCGTCGTCCTCCTCTCAATCTCCTTTATCATGAAGGCCACCTCCTCCTTCCTCACCTGCTTATAAGACTCCACCTTCTTGTTGCTGAGAAGGTGAAGGATAGTCATTTTCTTCATCTCCCTCCAGTATTCGCCGTAAGGGGCGAAGGCGACGTCGCGGCCGCGGTAAAAGAGCTCGTGGGTGGCCTTAAAGAAAGGGCGGTTGGCGAAGAGGTGGTCATGGGTTTGGGTGATTTCACGAACGACGGAAGGAGAGGAGGCGACGAGAACTGGCAGGCGGCCGAGGTGGAGGAGCATGAGGGGTCCGTGGCGGTCAGAGAGGGCACGGAGGGAGCGGTGGGGGAGTTGAGTGAGTTGGTGGAGGTTGCCGATGATGGGTAGCTTGGGAGGGGAGGGAGGGAGGGGGACAGCACTGCCATTGTTTCTTGTGGGGAAGAAAAGAGAAGGTAAAATGATTGCTAGTATTGTAATAGATAGGATCACCAGCATGAATGGGGGATAAAGAAGAAGAGAGATTATGGGAGAGGAGAGGAAAGAAGACAAACTCTCTACCATTTTCCCTTTTGTTCTGAGATGTTTGAGGAGGAGGAGACTGGTAGAGTTTATACAGGTTTAAATGCTATGTTTTTTTTTTTATTATTTATAATTATTTATCATTAGTTCAGTTATTTTATAATTATTGTATAAGAATGTGGTATATTTGTCATTTGTTAGAATGATGGTAAACTACAATAATTTTAGAAAACTATGGTAAACAATATATTTTTTGTGGATTTGGAGGACTTCATTGAAGGGAAGATTTGGGTGATATGGATAAAAATGTAATATTTAGGTGTTAAATATGTGACGACATAATAATTTAGTGGTATTTATGTAAATGTGTCAAAATGTTGGGGAGGCATGTGAATCACGCGAACAGGTGCCATGTGCCTTGCATTTGAAACTACTCTCAATTATTGATGGTTTTCAACCTTTAATGTGAAAGGAAAAGAATCAAATTGAAATTAATTAAAATTTATTTTTATTTGAGTGTGAACATAGAGCCCTAAATTTTTATAAATCTGACTTCTCTAATGCATGATGATAAAAAAAAAAAATACTTATCTTTTATAAATTGAAATGTGCAACATGTTGATTTAGATGTTTTTTAAGAGACTGACTTTAGGAAGGCAGCATTTGAGGAGGAACCATTAATATGATTGACTCTACGGGTCTGTTTGGGGCAATTGTAGCTTATTGAGTAATCTGCTGATAAGCTGGTGCGGTGGCTATTACAAATTTTTATTTTTTTGGAAAAACAAGACCATTGTCAATAAACTCCCACCACACCTAGATAAGTGCCGTGTGAAAACGCTGTTTTTTGTGTTTTGAAAACGCATAAGCTGTCAAAATGCAGTTTACCCAAACAGGCCAGATGCGTTTTCAAAACGCTACCGCACCAAATAAGCTGCCCCAAACGGGCCCTATCTTAGATTATTTGTATTAATTTCATAATTTTTGTCTATTTTATTATTTTGTGCTTTTTGAGATAAATTTTCAAAGCTTGATATCTATTTTGTTTTTTTGGAGTTTCCCGAGAGATATTTTGGGAGTTTGATATATATTTCAATTTACTTTTTGTGTTGCTTGAGAAACATATTTTGAGAGTTTGATATCTATTTTGTTTTTTTATCAATCAAAGTGTTAAAAAATGTTATGAATGTAAATATCGAATTTATGAGTGCCCTTGAGCTAAACAACCCAAAGTGATAGTCTATCTTGGGGAATACAGATCCCTTCATGTTGCACTATTGTTTGTTGTTGAGCCTCTTGATATGTTCAATGATCTATCTCATTTTGAGACTACTCAATTCCGCAGTTGCGACACACTAAAGATAGACCAATGCAACTTCGACAATAGAGTATGCTTGTAGAGAAGAAAAGATTAGGAAGTCTTTCATTCTTGATTCTGAGATTATACCCTGAAACAACTAAATGTTAAAGTGGAAAATTGTACTATTGGGAGAAAGAATTTAGGCATATTAGCCATCCAACAAATGTTCATGGAGCTTACAAAGGTGAGATTCCTTCTTAGAGAGAATGTCAAACTTTTTCACACAAAAAAAAATGTTGTTATAGATTAAGAGAGATTTGCCTTTTACATTCACACAAAAACCTTACACAAACAAATGAAAAGAGATCCATGGGATACTAAACATTTTTTACAAGAAAATCTTGAAAAGGGAAAGTCATGAGGCATGCTCCAATTGAAATGATCTCGTTATATAAATATACGTTACAAAACTTCACATATCTCCCGAATATGAGGGTGATATTACAAGACTATGAATTACGAGCTTGGCTTCCTGCAAAAGCGATGAAAATATTCATGAGACGATTAGGATAAGGGGAGATAAGGAAACTAAGGTCAGACGGTGTTTATCTGCTAGTGGTGGTCAAGCAAAAGCCTTTTGACGGCGATGGATCAGTGGCGATCCAATGGGAGTTTGAAGACAAATGTTAGGCAGTGGTAGTTATGATCTGACAGAGGTTATTTAATGGCAACAACGATAATAATCGGGTGACTACAATCCAATGAAAGTGTTTAGGTGACAACAGCATGAAGATGGTGGTGGGTGGTGAAATTCTGATGCTGAGGATGCTAGGGTGAGTGGTGGTGGACCAACGATAGTACTTGGGTGGAAATGATCTGACGATGATGGTTAGGCGATGACGTTGTTCAATTGACGACATTGGTTGAGTTGCAGTGGTTTGATACTTGTAGTCAAATAGAGCTAAAAAATTCTACAAGCTTCTAAGCTTCAACTAATCTTCCATCCAAGTACCCTTTATGCAAAGAGTTAGCATCTATTTACAAACCATAAAAGGAAAGCTTCTTCTAAATGCAACTAAAATCTAAAGTACACCACTGAAAGAGCTAGAGTGATCGTGAGGCGTTTTTGAATATTGAGTGTCTTAATGATATCAATATTGAGTTAGCTCTATAGTAATTGTATGGTTGAGATACTCAATACGACTATAAACATGTAAGAATGAAGATAATTTGGCCCTCCAATAAACGTCATAATGTTTTCTATTATGCTTCAGGTGATTAACGTCACTAGATTTTTTTCACCAAGACGATCAATTCATATATAGATTGTTGAAATCAAAATTTTGAAAGGTCCAAAATCTATTTTTTAATTCAATTATATCACGCATAGAAATTTGTGCTTGATTATGTGAATTTTTTTGTGAAGTAGCAAAATTCATGATAATATTAATTTCTAAAAAGAAAATTTCCATCATCATTCAAAATAAAAGTTGATTATCATCGATTTATATTCATTAAATTAATCTATATCATTAAGACACTCCATATTAACTATATATATATGGTTTTGAAAATAATATTTTAATTTTAAAAAATGAGACCAAATAATAATAGTTTAGATAGTTGATTATAATACCACAAGTAATACATCTCCCCGATAGATGGACATATCACTTGTAAGTAGGTTTAACCATTTTAACTGAGATGTTCATGACATCTATTTAGTCTACAAAATTTATGGCCGACAATTCTCATATGTAATGAAAAGATTAGATAGTGTTTATATTAGCTAGGTTCATAATTTCCTATAAAGGCAAGCCCCTATAGTTAATTATATTTTAAATGACAGAAATCACTTAAGATAATTCTCGATAATGACCAGAGATTTTATTTTCAAGAAATCAAATTAAGTTTTCACGATTGTTTGTAAGAAGAGTCAACTGGGCATGGATCAGGTGGGAACAGGTATTTTGGAGACCAATGGAGCGAGAGTTAGAGAATTTTATAGACTTTGAGGTGAACCTCAATGATCTCCTAAACTATCATAGTGTTGAAACTGACCTCTGTCTGCTTGCATCCTCGTCATCTGAAATTGTCTTTTGTCCTCTTGCATCCTCGTCTTGCTTCCCAGATTGCTAGCTTCAAGCTCCTTGTTTGTGATAGTCTTGAGTTTTAAAAAGTGTGTTCAAACTGATGATTATCAATATTGTTGGGTCGCAGGGTTTTATTGTAGGGTTCCTCCTAAACAGGTGTTCTACTGTCCTCTATCCTAGAGATCCTTTATAGGTATAGTAAGTAATAGAATATTAATGTTGCATGTGTAAACAAAAAAATTTATACAGTACAGTGTAGTAAAAAAAATGCAGCAAAAAGAAAGTGGTAGTATGTATCTGTCACCTCTGATCTAAAAGGTACGCGTATTAAAAAAAAATTAATTAAACATTGGTGTGACATGTAAATACATAAAATTTGTGTGATATGCAGGGAGATTTGAAATTTAGGTGTTGAACAATTAAATTCGTAGAATTTGTGTGATATGCATGGAGAAGAAATGATTTTCTTTAGAGTGTTAGATATGTAAATACATGAAAATAGAGTGGTATAGATGTAAATCCTTGTCATGCAAATACATAAGAGTCGGCGTCGTTATGTAAATACATAAGATTTTGTGTGACTAGCATGTGAATACATCAACAAATAAATAAATAAATAAATAGATGGCACGCATGTATAATAAAAAAAGGAGAGAGGAGAGAGATCGCCTTGAAAGAGGAAATATTACATCAGTACTACGCACGTTATTTTTAAGTGCATAGCCAATCAAAACACGCCACTACATCTCGCGCAGCGGAGTAAGAAAAACGGCGCAGTAACACGGAGAATATTCCCTTCTGTGTTATTCATGTGTTATTGCGCGTTATTCATGAGTTATTGCATGTTATTGATGTGTTATTGATGTATTATTGTGTTATTATAACACCAAGTCCTGAGAATATTCCTGGTGTTATAATAACACAATAACGATACAATAACACATGAATAACACACAATAACACTTGAATAACACGGGAAATATTTCCGACAGAGAAAAAAACGGCGCAGTAACACGGAGGAATATTCTCTCCCGTGTTATTCTTGTGTTATTGCGTGTTATTCATGTATTATTCATGTGTTATTGTGTTATTATAACACCAGGAATATTCTCATGATACAATAACACATGAATAACACACAATAACACATGAATAACACGGGGGAGAATATTCCCCGTGTTACTGCGCCGTTTTTTTTTCTGCGTCGCGCGGGGTATCGTGGCGTAATTTCATTGGGTACGCACGTTACTCTACGTGCGTAGTACTGATGTAATATTTTTTCTTGAAAGAGAATGGGAGAGCTTGGGGAGTTCACGGATTGGAAGAGAGGAAATGAGAAGATTCCCTTCTTCTTTTCGTGGGGAGCGTTGTGGGGGAATTTAGAAGCCTTAAAGAAAGGGCGGTTGGCGAAGAGGTGGCCACACGAACGGCGGAAGGGGAGGAGGCGGCCGAGGTGGAGGAGCATGATGGGTCTGTGGCGGTCGAAGAGGGAACGGTGGGGGAGTTGAGCGAGTTGGTGGAGGTTGCCGATGATGGGAAGCTTGGGAGGGGAGGGAGGGAGATTGGTGGAGTTTATATAGGTTTAAATGCTATAGAAAATTATGGTAAACAGTATATTTTCCGTAGAATAGCAGAACTTCGTTGAAGGGAATATTTGGGAGATAAATATAAATGTAAAAATGTAATATTTAGGTGTTACGTATCTAACCACATCCGAATTTGGCGGCATTTATGTAAATGTCCCCACATGTTGGGGAGGCATGTGAATCACGCGAACAGGTGCATGTGCCTTGCATTTGAAAGCACTTTCAATCATAGATGGTTAGGCAACTACAATCCAATGAAAGTGTTTAGGTGGCAGCAATTTGAACATGGTGATTGGGTGGAGAAGGTCTTATGCTGAGGACGCTAGGGTGAGCGGTTGTGGACCAACAATAGTAATTCGGCGAAAATGATTTAGCAATGATGGCTAGGCAATGACGACATTCAATTGACGACATTGGTTGAGTAAAAGTGGTCCAATGGTTTTAGTCAAATAGAGCTAAAAAATTGTACAGGCTTCTATGCTTCATCTAATCTTCAATCAAGTATCCTTTATGCAAGGAGTTAGTCTTTATTTATAGACCATAAAAGTAATGTTTCTTGTAAACGCAACTAAAATCCAAATCATACCACTGGATGAGCTAGTGTGATCCCTTTGATCGTGAGGCGTTTTTGAATGTTGAGTGTCTTAATGATATCAAAATTGTGTTAGCTTTATAGTAATTATATGGTTGAGATACTCAATACAACTATAAACATGTAAGATTGGAGATAATTTGGCCCACCAATTAACGTCACAAATTTTTCTATTATTCTTCAGATGTTTAATGTCACTAGATTTATCTCACCAAGGCATCCAATTCATATATAGATTTGTTGAAATCAAAATTTCGAAAGGTCAAAAATCTATTTTTTTAATTCAATTATGTCATGTATAGAAATTTGTGCTTCTTGAAGTGAATTTTGTTGTAAAGTAGCAAAATCCATAATAATATTAATTTCTAAAAAAAATCGTCATAATTCAAAATAAAAGTTGATTACCATAGATTTATAATCATTAAATTACTTTAAGATGAATAATATAAATTATAATTAATTAGTCATGTATTTCATTTATCTTTATATAAATATAATAATTTGAAATTCAGATTAAATGATTAGATCTCATAAAATTTTTCGAGGAGATGAGTAAAGTGACTAAAATATGAATACATTTCTTTAATAGATTTACCATTAAATCCAGATAAACTGCAACACTCACCACTCCTCACAAAACACACAAAACCTAAAAGAAAAGGAAATCCCTCCATCCCCTCTCTCATAGTCCATCTTATTTCCTTTTCCCCAACTATGCTATTAATGTTGGCTCTTATAATACTAACAATTACTTTATCATCATTCTTCAACTCCAAAAAAAGTGTATTGTTACTACACTTATTGTAGTTAATACTACACTGACCACCACCAATAATAATGGTGTTCAACACCTCAAGCCCTCTTCCCCTAAGCTCTCCATCATCAACACCCTCCATCAACTATGTCCCTCTATCATCTCTCCAACCTCCTTTGCACTCCTTTACCATAGCCTCTTCTCTGGCTATGGAGGGAGGCGAAAAAAGTGGTGGTTCTTCTTCACATTCTTAGTAATAAGAAAGTGAAATCCTAAGTGAGTGAGGGAGGAGGAGGTGTTCTATATCAAAAGCAGGCCTAGACCACCATTTTCATGATGATTTTACATACATATCAGCTTTTTTTTTTTCCATTTCTAACACCTAAACCTTATGTTTTGCATATATACCGCCTGAATCTCTTATAGCATATAAAAGTGTCAATTTTTTTTACTTCTAAAAAGTGAAATATATATTTTCATGCATAGAAAATGTTACCTAAAAATTTCATGAATCAAAATAAAAAGCTGTACAAGTTCGTTAATTTAATGACAATGTATTTATAGATGCGCTTAAGTTTAATCAATTAGTTGATCAAATGAATATAAACGAGCTTATATCAAGTAGGCAACTACCTCTAGTTACATCACAAGTTTCATCTAATTATAGATTAACAATTCCCCATATTTTTTTCAAGAATATAATTATTGTCATTTAAAATTAAAAAAAAATTGCCTTGGAATTTAATTAATCAGACTAATAGTTGGCGCACTCTAACTAATAATAGCCCCAAATATTTCGAAACAAATTTCCAAAATATTTCTCTCGAATTTAGCATATTTAAGGGGCGTTTGGTAGCGCCTTATTAACATGATTTATCCATTTTTTGATTTATTAAATCCAGCCAAGCATAAAAAAAAATCGTAAGTTCTATGGATTTATAAATATTTGGATTTAATGTTCAAATTTTATCTTCGGTTCAGTGTGCGTGCATCATAACCTGTGAATCGACTGCAGAAAAGACAAGGCAAGAGGCTTAGAAAAATCCTACAATGTCTCATATTTTCAAAAAGGGGGTTTTACATTTGTAGCAGGCAAAATGTTATTATTTATATATCTTATTTTCAAATTTTAGTATTTACCTCCTCAGTAATAATGTGTACATATATATTTTTAGACTAATTTTGCCATTTAAATTTATTTAAACTCCAACAACTACCCCATCTACAGCACAGCACAGAACCATGAAAATAGAAAGAAATGGTTGTGGAGAACATATCTTCCTCCCTCCCCTCTTCCACAATCTCTCTTCTCTATCCTCCAGACATGCTGATAAATCTGGCTCTTACTCTTACAGTACTGGCGATTGCTTTAGCACATTTATTCTTCCTGGGGAAGAAGAAGAAGATTGCTGACATTACTACAACTGGTACTGCTACTATCTCAACTATCATCACTAATAGTAGAATTCAACCTCTCCCACCTTCTCCTCCTCAGTTCCCCATCATTGACAACCTCCATCAGCTCGGTTCCCTCCCCCACCACTCTCTTCGTTCCCTCTCTGATCAACATGGGCCCCTCATGCTCCACCTCGGTTGTTGTCCAGCCCTCGCCGTCTCGTCCCCTTGTGTCCTCCGTGGGATCATCCAAACCCATGATCACTTGTTTTCCAAAAGCCCTTTTTTAAAGGTCCCCGACACTCTCTTCTACCATAGCCAGGATATTGGCTTTGCCCCCTATGGTGAATATTGGAGAGAGATAAAGAAAGTGACTATTCTCCATCTTTTTAGCAATGAGAAGGTAGGTTCCTATAAGCAGGTGAGAGAAGAGGAGGTGGCCTTTATGATGAAGGAGTTTGAACGAACAACGATGGTGGAAATGATTGAGAGGTTTAATGCGCTCTCAAGAGATGTTATAAGTCGAACAGTAATTGGCAAGGCGGCAAGAAGGAGGTGGTGGGGGGCTGAGTTAAGGATTCTTATTGACAACATTTTGAGCAAATATGTTGAATGTCTTTTCCTTTGATTTCATTTCAATAAATAGCAGTTTGTTCAATCTATATTAGGTACATAATATTCAGTATAATCTAATTTAAGTAACTTAATTAATACATATTCATAATCTAAATATTCAACCAAAAGGAAAGAATCCAAGCAGCTAAAAGGAAAGAATCCATGCAAATATATTATTTCCTTCTTTGCAGTATTGCGAAGAAGGAAACTCTTTATTATGTCTGATTTCTTTTATTCCTGATTAATATCTCTCTTCAAATTGATGCTGACTGGTTAGGAAGCATCAATTTGCTGACAATAAACTGATGACGCTGTCGAGAAAGAGCTTTAGTAAATATATTAGTCGTTTGAAGATCAGAAGTGATATGAAAAAGAGATACAACACCCTCTTCATAAACTTCTCGAATGGAATGACAGACCACTTCAATGTGTTTCGTGCGTTCATAAAAGACGGGATTAACAACAATCTGGATAGCACTAGTATTATCTGCATGAAGAGAAGTACCAAGCCCAGCCAGCACGCCACGAAGCCAAATGATTTCAGAACAAGCAGAGGACATAGCACGATATTCTGTTTTAGTGGATGACTTAGACACTCAATCTTGTTTCTTGCTCTTCCAAGAAATTAAAGAGTTGTCGAGAAACATGCACCATCTAGTAATAAATTGGCGTGTATCAGAACAACCAGAAAAGAGTTGTCGAGAAACATGCACCATCTAGTAATAGATTGACATGTATCAGAACAACCAGACCAATCGACATCACTATAGGCTGTTAAGGTGATAGGAGACTTTGCAGAAAAGAACAAACCACGATGAGAAGCTCCTTTCAAATATCGAATAATACGTCGAACTGCAGATAAATGAAGATGTGTAGGGGCTTGCATAAATTGACTAACTTGTTGCAGCAAATGAAATATCAGAACGCGTAATAGTCAGATAATTGAGACTGTCAACCAGTTGTCTATATAGAGATGGTTCAGATAGAAAGTCTCCATCATTTTGTTGATATTTGATATTTACCTCCAAAGGGGCATCAGTGGAGCGACCATCTTGAAAACCAGCTAAAGCAATGTGTCCCTTCATATAGTTGTGCTAATGAAGAAAAATACCAGCGACAAAAGAGTGAACCTCGAGTCCTAAGAAATAAGTTAATGACCCTAAATCTTTCGTATGAAAAGAACCTTGAAGACGTTTCTGTAGCTGAGACATTAATTGGTCGATTGATCGTCAGATCCTGTGATGACAATATCATCAACATATACTAATAACAAAACAATTCCCTTGTTAGTCTTGCAAAGAAATAATGATGAATCATACTGGCTTTGAATAAAAGAGAAGCTAAGAAGGGTATTGCGAAATTTTTCAAACCAGGCCCGTGGAGTCTGTTTCAAACCGTATAGGGACCGTTTGAGCTTACAAACATCATGTGAAGGTGTAGAAAATAAGCCTGGAGGAGGAGTCATATAGACGTCTTCTTTGAGATCCCCATGTAAGAATGCATTCTTAACATCCATTTGGTTTAAGAACCAGCCTTTAGATGCAGCAATAGATAACACCAGTCGGACAGTTGTCATTTTAGCCACAGGTGCAAATGTTTCGGCATAATCAATCTCGTATTCCTGTCGATTTCCAAGAGCTACCAATTTTGCCTTATATCTGTCAAGAGAGCCATTAGATCGGAGTTTAAGTCGGTGTTTAAGAGAATAAACTAATTTACAACCAATGGGTTTAACACATGTAGGACATTAAACAATATCCCAGGTATGATTGTCTTGAAGTGCTTGAAGTTCCTCTTTCATGGCTTTGACCCAGCAAGTCTGTTTAGCAGCTTGAAAGTAAGAGGTAGGAACAATAGTATTAATTAAAATTGCAGAATACCCATATCTATCTGGAGGACGGATACGTCGGGTTGATCGTCGAATACTTATTGAAGTAATTTCTGGATCAGGGTCGGGGAGGATTGAAGGTGAAGGGGAAGACGTCGTGTGTAGACAATGTCTGGCTTGAACCGCTTATCAACAGAAGAATTATCAAATTGTGGAAGTACAATTGTATTTGATGTGGACATATGATGCAGAAAGTAATATTTATGTTCAAATAAATAATAGATGCTCTGATACCATGACAATATTTTGAGCAAATAGGCTGAGTGTCTTTTCCTTTGCTTTCATTCCAATAAATAGTAGTTTGTTCAATCTATTTTAGGTTCATAATATTCAGTATAATCTAATTTAAGTAACTTAATTAATACATATTCATAATCTAAATATTCAGATAAAAGGAAAGAATCCGTGCAAATATAATATTTCCTTATTTGCAGTATTGCGAAAAAATAAACTCTTTATTATGTAGAAGAAGTAGTGAGGGAGCGTCTGAGGGGAATAGCGAAGAGAAAGGAGGAAGGAGATGGTGATGCCACTAATGAGTGCTTCTTCGCGTTTTGTTGACTCTGCATAAAGAAATGAAGTGTAGGGGTGTTCTCTTAGATGATGAGAGTATTAAGGCATATCGCATTTACATTCATACCACCCAACACCAATGCATTTACACATCTAACACCTAAAATTTACTTTCTACAATTATAACACCCAAATCTTTGGTATCACAAACATTTTCAAACACTAAACTTTGGATGTTAGATAAATAATACATAAAAATTGAACGGTACGTACGTAGATCTCCTTTTATTTAACCATCATAAACTCCATTTCCACTAATCATTCCATAGGACATGTTCGGCGCGGGAACAGACTCAACCTCCATCGCCATGGAATGGGCTATGGCTGAGCTCCTTCGCCACCCAACCGCCATGGAAAAGCTCAAAGACGAAATAACCAACATCGTCGGCACCAATGAATCCTTCATCAAAGAAGAACAACTAGCAGAGATGAGCTATCTCAAAGCGGTGGTAAAAGAGGTTCTAAGGCTACATCCTTCACTTCCCATAATAATCCCTAGCCAAGTTAGGGAAGGCGCAATTATCAAAGGGTACAAAATTCCTAAAGAAGCAATGGTGCTCATTAACGCTTGGGCCATAGAATCCTTCACTTCCCATAATAATCCCTAGCCAAGTTACAGAAGAAGCAATTACCAAAAGCTACAAAGTTCCAAAAGGAACAATGGTGGTCATTAACTCTTGGGCCATAGGAAGGGACCCTAAGACATGGGACTCTCCGGAGAAGTTTCGGCCAGAGAGATTCATTAATGGCAAAGCGAGAGATTTAGGGTTTATTAATCATGGATTTCAGCTGCTGGCATTTGGTGCAGGAAAGAGATCTTGTGCTGGAATTTAGTTATCTGTGAGTTTGATGAGCTCGCAATGGCGAACCTGGTGCATGTTTTTGACTGGAAGCCAACGAAGAGGAAGGCAGAAGATATAAATATGGGTGAAGATTATGGACTTACTACTCGTAAAAAGGAGGCTCTTTTGCTCATTGGAACAAAGGCAATCAAATAAAAATAAAAATTGTGAACTATTTTATGTGTTGAATAAAAGTAAATGAAGATATACATTGATATCATTCAACTTTTATGTACTTATATTTTGCATACGCTGTCTATTAGGAACCACTAGTATTAAAAGGTCCCCACTATTTTCATGATATTCACCACCTTATAGACATGTGATATTAAATATAATTAATAATATTTTCCTATTAATTGGTTCAAGAAATACACAATAAAAATTAGTTGGAGTAAATTTGATTTTATTAATCTTAAAAAAAGTTTAATGAGTAAATTTATTGTGATCAAATAGGGGGGTCATTTGGGATCTTTTTTTTTTTTTAAATTTTCATTGGGATCTTTTTTTTTTTTTTTAAATAAGATATATTTAATGAGTTAAAATATGTGTATTTATTTTGAATTCAAATTACCAATGAATATTTTTTAAGTATTTTTAAAAAATAAGTTAATTTATTTAAAAATAAAGAATAAAGGAATATGAAACTAAATCTTATTGGCACAACAAAAATTTTACCATATCTCACCTTGAATGCAGAGTGCATTAGTAATTAAAAATATCAAAATATTGAATTTATTTTTCTTCAACAATGTAATACAACAGTTCACCCTACAATCCATCCATTCCCCATCATTTAAATTTTGAAAGATTTACATCCATATATACCACTTAATTCCCACGTATTTTCATATCTAACCCATAATACAACACCTTTTCTAGGCATGAAAATTCAAATTTCACTTTTTAAAAGTTAAAAAGTGATTTTTTTTTTTAATATGATATGAAACATTCAGGCGGTGTAGATGCAAAACATAACGTAAAGACAAAAAAATTGGCCGGTATGTATGTAAAATTCCTTAAATTTGTCCCTAGTTTTGTAGAGCTTTCATTGTTGCAATTAGCAGAAGAGCTTCCCTTTTCCGAGTAGTAAGTCCATAAACTTCACCCATATCAATATCTTTCACCTCCCCCTTCGCCGGCTTCCAGTCAAAAACATGCACCAGATTCGCAATGGCGAGCTCAATCAAACTCACAGAGAACTGAATTCCAGGACAAGATCTCGTTCCCGCACCAAACGCCAACAGCTGAAATCCATGATTAATAAACCCTAAATCCCTCCCTTCGCCATTAATGAACCTCTCCGGCCGAAACTCCTCCGGCGAGTCCCAGATCTTCGGGTCCCTTCCGATAGCCCAAGCATTGATGAACACCATTGTTCCTTTAGGGATTCTATAGCCTTTGATAATTGTGTCTCCTGTGAGCAAGCGACGTACTATTAAGGTAGTTGGTGGATGAAGCCTGAGAACCTCTTTTACTATTGCTTTGAGATAGCTCATCTCTGCTAATTGCTCTTCTTTAACGACGGTCTCGTTGCAGCCGACGACATTGGTTATTTCTTCTTTGAGCTTTTTCATGGCGATTGGGTGGCGAAGCAGCTCGACCATTGCCCATTCCATGGGGATGGAGGTTGAGTCTGTTCCCGCAATGAGCATATCCTGTAGAAGGAAAGATTGGTCGAAAATTGAGTCTAATGATTATTTGACGATTCACATGTATATAACTTTCAATGTTTATGTTTTTACCACATTCCATATCTAATATATAAATTTAATTATAAATACATAGGAATTGAGGGTTTATATGTAAGTGCCCCTTGACGATTTTAACTTGCATATTATAAAATTATGATCAGAATTTATGTTAGGATTATTACTATAAATTTTTTTTTTTTTGTCTCATTGCTCTTTTAAATGAAATATGATAAAAATTAACAATATAGCAACTGAAATTAAAAATAAGGAGGAAATCAAATTACCTTAGTGATAGCCTTAATACTGGTATCATCAAAAACAACACCCCTACATTTCATCTCCTCCTGCACAGTCAACAAAACATGGAGAAAACACTCATTAGCGCCATCACCGTCTCCTTCCTGCTGCCTCTTCTCCATTCCCATCCTACGCTGCTCCCTCACTATTTCTTCAAGCAACTTATCTGTTCTCTCAAACGTCTTTCTTAATCTCCTCTCAAATCTGCTTACAAACCCCACTGCTTTTCCCAACCATGGTATATAATCACCAACATGAAACTCTCCCATCAGACTCAAGTTATCACTTATGAGACTCCTCATACTGTCCCCCCACCATATTCTCCTTGTTGTTGCACCGAATACAGCTCGACTTATAACATCCCTAGAGAGCGCATTAAACAACTTTGACATGTCTATCACCGTCGTCCCCTCAATCTGCTTTATCATGAACGCCACCTCCTCCTTCCTCGCCTGCTTATAAGACTTCACCTTCTTGTTGTTAAGAAGGTGGAGGATAGTCATCTTCCTCATCTCCCTCCAGTATTCGCCATAAGGGGCAAAGGCGATGTCGCGGCCGTGGTAAACGTTGGTTGCCTTAAGGAAAGATCGGTTAGCAAAGAGGTGTTCATGGGTTTGAGTGATTTCACGAACCACGGAAGGGCAGCTGGCGACGAGAACTGGAAGACTGCCGAGACGGAGGAGCATGAGGGGTCCGTGGCGGTCGGAGAGGGAACGGAGGGAGCGGTGGGGGAGTTCAGTGAGTTGGTGGAGGTTGCCGATGATGGGGAGCTTAGCAGGGGAGGGTGGAAGGGGATGAACACTGTCATTGTTTCTCGTGGAAAAGAAAAGAGAAGGTAAAATAATTACTAGTATTGGAAGAGAAAGAATCAGCAGCATAAAGGGGGGATAAAGAAGAAGAGAGATTATGGGAGAGGAGAGGGAAGGATACATGCTCTCTATCATCTCTCTCTTTTTTTTTTTAGTGTTCTGAGATGTGTAAAGAGGAGGAGATTGGCCGAGTTTATATAAGTTTGAATAAAAGTACTTTCAATTATTGATGGTTTTCAAGCTTTCATGAAAGAGAAATAGAATTAATTTGAAATTAATTAAAAGTTAATTTTTATTTGAGTGTAAAAATAGAAATTTATAGAGAATTTACATAGATAGCAATCCACTATATTTCAATTTTGAAGTTTTTTGGGAGTTCGGCATATATTTTAACACTCGATTTTTTGGGCATTTGGTGTGGGAATTACATCTTGTCCCAGAATTCAGTTCTCTTTGAGTTTGATTTAGCTCGCCGTGGCGAATATAATGCAATTTTTTAGCTGGAAGTTGGCGAAGGGGAAAATGGAGGATATAGATATGGGTGAAGTTCATGGGCTTACTACACATAAGCGAGGGGGTCCTCTACTTATTGCAAGCAACGAAGGTCGTTAAGCATGAGTCAGGAAGGGAGATTGATGAGGTTGTTTATATATCTAATAGCTAAATTTTAGTTTTTTTTTTTCAACTTAGTCCACTGATTTTTAAAAATAGTATCTTAATTTTGAAAAATGATACCAGATATATCTCATATATTTAATAGTTTAAGTAATCGAACACAATGTTACAAGTGATACATCACTTTGAAAGGTAAGCATATCACTTAGCAGGCTGATCAGAATAAGAGATAAAACCGCTATTTGACTGCTTCCTACCTTCAATTTTTGCCAGAGTCATACAAAGGACTACCGGACAACCACATCAGCCGGCCGCTTAGGATAGACATACTAAGAACTGACAATATTTTGAGCGAATAGGCTGAATGTCTTTTCTTTTGCTTTCATTCCAATAAATAGTAGTTTGTACAATTTATTTTAGGTACATAATATTTAGTGTAATCTAAATTAAATAACTTAATTAATACATATTCATATAAATATTCAGCTAAAATATATTCAGCTAAAATGAAAGAATCCGTGCAAATATAATATTTCCTTCTTTGCAGTATTACGAAGAAGGAAACTCTTTTTTCTGTCCGATTTCTTTTATTCCTGATTGATATCCCCCTTCAAATTGATGATGGCTGGTCAAGAAGCATCAATTTGCTGACAAAAAACTGATGACGCTGTCGACAAAGAGCTTTAGTGAATATATCAGTCGTTTGAAGATCGGAAGTGATATGAGGAAGAGATATAACACCCTCCTCATAGGTTGCTCGAATGGAATGACAGTCCACTTCAATTTGTTTCATGCGTTCATAAAAGATGAGATTAGCAACAATCTGGATAGAACTAGTATTATCTGCATGAAGAGAAGTAGACTCAAGAAGTAGACAAAAGCAAAGGAAAACCAAGCTCAGCCAACACGCCACGAAGCCAAATGATTTCAGAACAAACAGAGCTAGTATTATCTGCATGAAGAGAAGTAGACTCAAGCAAAGGAAAACCAAGCTCAGCCAACACGCCACGAAGCCAAATGATTTCAGAACAAACAGAGGACATAACACGATATTCTAATTCAGTAGATGACTTAAACTAGGAAAATCAAGCTCAACCAACACTCTAGGCCCGTGGAGCCTGTTTCAAATCGTATAGGGATTGTTTGAGCATACAAGCATCATGTGAAGGTGTAGAAAATAAGCCTTGAGGAGGAGTCATATAGACGTCTTCTTTGAGATCCCCATGTAAGAATGCATTCTTAACATCCATCTGCTTTAAGAAACAGCCTTTCGATGCAGCCTTTAGATGCAGCAATATATAATACCAAACGGACAGTTGTCATCTTAGCCACAGGTGCAAATGTTTCGTCATAATCAATCTCGTATTCCTGTCGATTGCCAAGAGCTACCGATCTTATCTTATATCTGTCAAGAGAGCCATCAGATCGGAGTTTAAGAGAATAAACTAATTTACAACCAATGGGTTTAACACCTGTAGGACATGAAACAATAT